GCTGACAGTTTTGACCAACCGGTGGAAGCAGTTCATTTCTGAAAGTGAAAGGCACCGTACATGTACATGGGGTTGGGGGAAAATGTCCACCAAATCACATTGAATATTTTTCATTACAGTGTTATACACACTGTCTATGTATTTATCACTGTCAAAATGAAGGGCTGGGACGCAGGAGTACTGCAACAATACTTCCAAGAGTTAAGTTGAGGATGGAGCACAAGTGTTGTGAGTACAGAACATGCCAAATGAGGCTTACATACATGTACAAATGATGCTGTGGACGTGGCTGAGTATCAATGAAAACTACTCCCGAAAGCCTGCAAAAGTCCTACTTTTAGCCAGATGTTGTCCTCCTTTAAATAGTCGTATTTTTGTGCTGTTTAATTTTTTTTGAAAATTTTGATCTTACTGTTCTCCTACATGTACTTTTTCAACTGGGTCTGCTTGAAAGCCTGGACCTGTCACCACAAACTGAGCTTCAAGTGAGTCATAAAAATGTAATTTTAAAATGACATTTTGTTGCTAGCTTGTTATTAAGTTATTACACATACATGTACATGAACATTAGCAGATTAATTTGTTTCATTTTATTCATTAATTTTTTTTGTCAGCGGTGATTGGTATGAAATCAACAGTTGTTGGGGAAATTGCCTTCTGGTCCCTGTGAAAATAACGGAAACGAAAAATTAATCAACGACAAGAACCTACTGCCGCTCTCCAAAAAAATAACTGTTCTTTTGTCGGGGTGTTCTAAGTTATACACGTAGGCTACTCGTCTAGTTGTTATTTTTACACTTGTGCGTGCATGCCAGTCGTGAATTCCACTGACTAATTGCTGTTGGGTCAGCAGGATGCATGCCTAATCTGGCACGTTCCATGACTTGGTATTTTGTTTTGGGTGGAGCTTAGTAAATCGGGTGGAGGGGGTAGGCATGATCTGTGTAGCATTTGCAAACCTGAGCCTGGAACTAGTGGAAGACTTAATTGCAACCTCTGAAACCTGTAGTCACAGATGCGGGAGTCCACATGACATCAGTGAGCTAATTAGTGTGCAAGTTACCTGTGCACACAATGTGTAGTAACCCTCCTTTTATTTGATCAGTCAGAGACAGTCAAAAATTCAGTGCTGTTCCCCTCCAATGCTTTTACACAGGCTAGTCACCAACAGTCAGATCATACCGTAAATAATTTCATCGTGTAGGCAAAAGACAAAAGCAGGTGATCTACGGGCACAGCTGGCGTAACGATCTCCTACGGTCAAGCATAGCTACAGGTATACAGTACATGTACAGCCGGTCAATCCTGATTTATGAATGCAGGGAGCACTCAACTGTTACAAACGGTCACTTGATTTATTTTGACTACTGGTCTGGCCTTATTGAAATTGCCAGCCAGAGAGGGAGGGTTACATATAATGACACTGAACCTAGAAACACATGTACTGTACATTGTACATGAATGGGCCTTATGCACGAGTCGGCTATGTTGAATTGAAAGTGAGGTGAAATCTTCATTTTTGGAAATAAAAGCAAGTACATTACTAAATAATTCAAGTCTGCTTAAAATGAATAATTTGAAATTTATAATTAAACATTACCTAGTGGTTTAAGCCAAATATATTTTTTTTAAAAATGAAAGTAAATTAAGGCTGCATACAAATAGTCTGGCGCCATCCCATTCAACAGTTAACAATTAATGAAAAACATTCAGGGAACACGACAAAAATGGCTACCTCGTGAATAGGGTCCATTCACTCGCCGCAAACACATTATACAGCGTGTAATGATGATCAAACAAACAACAACTTGAGCCGAGACTACCCCTCAAGTCAGGGTGTCAATTTATGCATGTTGTGTCTTGAATAGTTCATGATGACAGATATGGTTTTTTTAATAAAGACACTCTGCTCATATGCAGCACCGAGTTAATAATTCAACATGCTAGCGTCGTTTTCATACTGTGCTTTCATTTATTTTTCGCTCATTGTTTTCCTTATGGGTGTTAAAAAAAAAATCTCATTGCAATGTCTATGAAGGTTTGTGAAATCAACAGCAAGTATTTTTTAATTCCATCGGTCTTCCGTGTTATACACATGTACATGTACATTGTAAATTATAATGTTTATGAATAACCACATTCATTCTTGCAGTGGATAATTTTTGAAAAACCAAGCTTCTAAAACTTAAGCTTAATGGTGCAAAGTATATAAAATAAAAATAAATAAATAGAGAACATTTATATAGCGCCAAAATCCGTCTAAAAAAGACGCTCAAGGCGTTTTACAAGTTTTAAAAAAAATAATAAATAAATAAATAAAAAAATGAAATATAGATATTTACACATGTAACGGTGTACATACATACATTTCCCATACTGTGTCCAAATTGCTTTAATTGTTTAACAGGTGTGGAACTTGGTACATGCACTTTCCCAAATGTTAAATTTCTATTATTTTGTGCAATAAGCAATTAACATGTCACGTCAGCCATTTCCCTTGTCTCACATCTTGAAACACATACAAGGCTAATGGAACTCTTGCCATAAAAAAAGTTCACTGGTTATAAATACAATTGTGTGATTTTGCTACAATATTGAGAAAGAAAAACAAAATTCACAAAATTGCCAACTGTTGTCACTTGTATTTTGAGTGACCCTCCCGCAATGAACATACATGTAAATACCAGAGATGCCAAGATGTAACACAAAAGCTGGGAGCGTGACAGTGCGAGCGGCAAAGACTATCATAATGTAACCATATGTAGCGGGCCCTGGTGATGAGGGGGTCTCTTTTGGTCGATGTCGTTGGGGGTTGTTTTTGCGACCATAACCAGGAACATGTTTGATTGAACCTCCACTGTCATTCACGCATAACCACGCTGCGCGGCGCTAAATGATCTTTGCGCAGAACTGAAGTCGCCTAAAATGCTTAAGCCCAAACACGAAAACAGCCCCCAACATTTATTTTTAGAACCATTTTAGTGTGAGGTGAGTGATTACAATTGTCTGGCATGTGAGCGTGTGAATTGACTCTTGAAGTGTGTGACACAGGTACCATCTCAGCTCCCTGGGGAGTATACAGCTCGATGTAGCCTGTTAGGCGCAAGGAAGCTAATTCAATCACAATAACCATCTCTGCCCTCACAGGTACCCATTTACTCCTGGGTGGAGAGAAGTAATGAGTGACAAAGTGCCTTGCCCAAGGGCACACGCACCATGACCCCGCCAGGACTCGAACCCACAACCTGCAGCTTTACCCACAGACCACGAATCAGTGCCCTTAACCACGAGGCCACCTACGATTTTGAAAAATCTGAAGCATCTCACAATATCCACATGTTGAACAACCAACATTTAATCATTGTGCTCAATGTGCCTGGGTTGTAGGCAAATACATTAGTATGGCACATACAAAGGCCTATGTACATTTTGAACACCTGGAGAAACAAATCCAAAGCAACTTTGGGTATTTTATGGACAGTCTCATTGGTTTGTGCAGTGATCATGCGATGAATGTTTTTTTTACTGACCTGTCATGCCTGTACATGTATGTACCAGCGCAAAATTTTAGGTTGTCCAAAATTTTTCTGATGAAAAAAATCTGAAGCATCACACAATATCCACACGTGCATGCGCGTACGTGTACGTTTGGTACGTGTACAGTTTCTTAACTACCGGTATGCACGTCGTAAAACATGTTCAATGTCACTGAGTTAAATCACCGTACGTACGTAAGTCAGCATGTAAGTTGTAAAATTGTAAGTCGCCCCGAGTCTGTCACAACCCAGCCCACGCCTAATGGTGTTACAGCATCTATCTGCAGGCTCCTCTCTCTCTTACGCCAATCTCCAATTTCACTTAATGTTGATTATAAATCTCCTGGAGGCCGATTGAAAGAAGTTCCTGTCTTTTTTATTATTTTTGGGAGTGTGTGTGTGTGTGATGTGTACATGTACGCAAACAGGACTCTCGCAGCTTTTCATTAAGCTGATCTAATTATAAGACTCACGACTTTATTGCCATAATTTAATAGCGGCATCGTGCCCGATGATGGATTGAGTGGGCGAGAATCCAAAAGGGGCAAGATTATCCGGCAATATGGTTCGCGAGAATCACGCTGGGGAACAAAAAAAAAAAAATTGTAACAGGTTGTCATTTCAGGAATTCAACGTATAAGAATATCAAATTGCAGAATTCCAGTTGAAACAATTATGTAAATTTTGAAGTTGTTTGGAAATATTGAATCCAAATTATGAAGTGAGACAAACCATAATTATTACAAAGATGTGCTGTTTTATTTCAAAGGATAAGCTTTCTTTTTAAATATAAAACCGTAGAATCAAAGTTACATAAACTTGCGACAGAATTTCAAGAAACGTTCAAGTACCCTTAGCTGAATATGAACATGAATTCTGAGTCAGTGTCCATCACAAAATGTAGACAATAATTCGAGCAAATTATGTATTTCAAACAAATCTTTGCTGCAAATCCCTGAGTTTATGAAAAGGGTTTCTCTCAAGTAACTGACATCCATTTGAGGCTGGCATTCCATATCCAGAGTCACGTCAAACCGAATTATTCCTTAAGTTTGGAATAGATTTAAGAGTGACCAAACGCACAAGACGTCAGTCCATCACAACTCCTCCAGTCCAAATTCAACTTACTTAGCCGTGAGCTTTGACAAAGGCGATCCTTTGCCATTGTTCATTCACTGTTTCTTTTGACTTGACTTGTGATTTACTTGTGACTGGACTTGTGATGGACTCTCTACAACATCCATTTAAGACTCGAAAGATTGACTGTCACAGTCACTCATAACAAGTCTGGAGTCTAGTCATTGGAGACTGAATGCAACAATGTCTGAAAACAAATTGATTTGGATTGGCCAGAATCACGTCTGGCACGACTCTGGATACTGACCCAGCCTGATACGACCGTGAGTGACTGTACCTGCAGGATTCAATCAGGTCTAACCCATCTCTTTCCTCTCCTCAAATTTGTTCCCACATTTCCAGTACAGAATAGGACAGCTGTACATGATAGCCAAGCACAGCAATGAGCAATCGCAGAAAGGAGAAGGCGTCGAGGTGATCAAAAACGAAGACTGCCACGATCCCGTGCACGGCAAAGGGAGGTACACCGAGAAACGCATCTACCTCTCAAGGTATATTATTATTGTTAGTTATTTCTGGAAATGAAACCAAGGATTCCTCCAAAGCGCCCTAAACAGTGTAGCTGGCAGGCCTGAAGAAACCTGTGGAGAGGAGACAATGAGAACAAATTACACTTTTAGAGGTTGGAGGAAACTGCAAAAGAGTATTCTGGGAGAAAACCCACGGAATCAGATAGAGATTTTAAAAAAAAAACAACCGACATTTTGGCCCAGGCCGAACCCCCGGGTCACAGCGGTGGAAGGCGAGGAAAGTAACACTACGCCAACCTGACTCACACATGCACAGGAAGATGTCAATATTTAATATTGAGTTAACTTTTGCCCCAGACTGATCTAATTTTATCACCACACTATACTCGGTGTAGTGCCAGAGCTCGTGAGAGAAAAAATGACTGAATGTTTGCACAATGTTGGTGAAAGGAAAAAAGGTACATTGGGAGGGATCAGATGTTTTAACAGCTTTCGGATTTGTACTGGTAAAAAGTTGTTACTTTGGTTCAGCTGTTCCAGCAAAAATACATGTACCGATAGTCGGTTACAGTTGTTGGATTAGCAGGTTGGGTGCTTATTTAGACTGGAAAAAAACTTGGGTGTAGATTTAGTTTGGAGTAATATCCTGATTTCCAAGGGTTTACCTGCCCAAAAACTGTTAACATTTTATCTGAAAGTTCTTTTGGTACTGCATGAAGAGAGGAGATCAGAACCTGGTAGGGGTGTGCCGATTATGTACCAAATAAGCCATAAACATATGCCATGTATCGGTATGTAGCCAGGCATCCAGCCAAAAGTCATGATGCTAGCAACATTAATTAGCAATGCTGCAAACAGGTGCAAACCTGCGAAATTACTCTAGAAGTACATGTAATTGACAATTAATCGAATGCACCTTATTTTTGGGCTGTCCATTTTCGAACAATTTAGTATTGGATTATTCAGATTTGCACTTGACCTAATATTCGGATATTCAAAACTCGTCGATCAAGTTTTACACAGGCCAGCTGCAACTGCCTTCCTCACTGGTTAAAAGTTGCATACAAAGCGCGCTGGTTAAATTTGCATGCCGCAATGGATATGTGGATCCGCTCGAGTGCTTTGCAGTAGGTACTGTATTTTTGTGTATGTAACTGTGAAGTGACGTTACCCAGCTAAAAGAATTGGACCAATAAACTGGACAAAACAAATTCATCGTCGAACCAAAAAGTGGCTTCTGACAATAAATAACGCAACTTTACGAGTAAAATATCATCTCAGTCATGTGTGTGCATGCATAGTTTTTTTTTTTTTTTGAATATTCAAACCGATAAAAAGTTATTTGAATATTAGGTTGATGATGGAATATTTGAATATTCGGTATGTTCGGGACAGCCCTACATGTACCTTATTGGTATCCATGAAAGGGCAGTTTGTCCGTAGGGGAGACCGTTCGCAGGTGGTTCAGACATCCTGTGGGATGCATGGTAATTTTTGCCAAGGTGTGAGATGGAGTGCTTGGCCTGAACACTTATACCGGGTAGTGGGCAGTAATGCATACTGATTCCAAGCTTCACTTCTGGGCACATGGCAAATGTGAAGTGCGGTGCACATCAATTGGTACATGTATGTGTACCTGTATGCGTTAGGTACCGTACAGTAGGCTTTCTAGTGCAGATGTCTTACCACTCGACCACCGAGCTAACGGGATCAGTTGGCTGTTTCAAATCTGATGTACATAGCAGTGGGTACCGCATTAACTATTCATAAGATGGAATTTTTGCATCAAGGTGATGTAAATCGAATTAGGTTTTGCCTTTCACCAATGTATAAACACTGTATACTCAGTGTGTTACCTCCCGAGTGAAAGTTGCAAAAAATCACTCGGGTGGGACTCGAACCCACGACCTCCGCTTTCTAGTGCAGACGTCTTACCACTCGACCACTGAGCTAACGGGATCGGTTGCCTGGTTCGAATCTGATGTACATAGCAGCGGGTACCGCATTAACTATTAATAAGATGGAATTTTAGTTGTACAATACATACATGTACATGTAAGTGGTTCATCCGGCATTTTGTATGGTCCCAACCCTGCATACAGTACATGTTTCTGGGATGGCTATTATGGGCAATTTACACACATTTCCCATAACCACTTTAAACATTCCAAAGCTATGGTATGCATTCATTAAAAATTGAGACTTTTCACCTTTAGAGCTTTCAAATATCAATTTAGAGTAGGGACGCCCAACATTGTTCCCGCCACAGAAACAAAAGACAATTTCCATTGTACAACCAACAGGATAAAACAAAAGTCTAATCGATGCTATACGAAACAGGAACAGTGCCAAGGCTGCATAACAGCTGTGCCTTGCTCCATTTTTTCCCCCGATATTTTTCATAAAGTGGGCATTGCTACGCTCCATTGATGCATGTACTCGATAGGTTTTCTCGTTTGTTTTTCCCTTCACGGTAGACCTACTTAGCCAATATTGGATTTTCTTGAGACTCGGGCAGCATATATGGCTTGGCGTTTATCGTCCTAACCACAACTAACTTAATTGATGTGTTGTCTACACAAGTGAGACCATGTACAAATACACTGTATTGGATGATATATTGCACGCTTCCTCCAGACATTGTCATGTGCACGTTTACGCTAACCACTGTGTACATGGACTGTACAAAGTACACAATAGCTTAATGATGGGTTGATAGGCCTACAGTGGAATGCCTTCCTGGTTAATGGCAATTTATAAGTGGAACATTTGGATTACATACATGTACTGGTACATGTAATTCAAATGTCGAGGGTCAAATGTTTTGTTCTGAAGTAATGTGCATAATGTAAATTTATGCAAATAAACCATAAAAGGCTACTTACATGTGCTGGTACATGTATGTATGCATTACATACGGTACCGGTACATTGGTTTGCCTTGTTTAAATTTCTCTATGGTTTGTTACATTTACATTAGGATAGTTATTATTTATTTAAAGGGAAAATACAACATTTGCAAACATCAAAGAATAAAACTACCAAATTATTTTGAAAAACCTTGCTGGACTGTTAGTGAATGACAGTGTAAAGCATCCTGTAAAATCATGGCACCTGGAATACTGTCATTTTCAAGAAAAGTTGTATATTTGTATCAATATCCAACCAACGCTGGTCAGCCGACCAGCATTGGAAGAAACTAGGTTTTTTTCAAATACTAGCCCCAATTGACCATCACATTTGTTTGCAATCGATTACACACCTATGAACGAGTACAAGCCAGATATGGATGTTCCCTGACCTTACAATTCCCCAATGTACATAAACTGCTCTGTTTCATCTTAAATGCAGTCAGGGAACCCGACTACAGGAAAATGATTGTTTTTCTTGGTTTTTATGGCATTTTCGAACCCAAAAGTTCAAAAAAGTCAGTGTAACAATATTTGCTATATATTACCAACCTCCCAATTCCATCTATTTCTGAAAATTACAGCAAAAGCAAATGATGTACATGTATATTCCCTTTAAAGATTGCTTTTGGTAATTAAACCAAGGATTCCTCAAATGTGCCCTTCAACATAGCTCGCAAGCCTGGAGAAACCTGCAGAGAGAATACAATTAGTAGTAATTACAGTTTTAGAGGCAGGAGGAAAATCCCAGAATTAATATTCTGGGGGAAACCCACGGAATCAGGTAGAGACTGAAAACCCAATCCACATGTGGAACAGGGCAGGAATCGAACCCGGGCCACAGTGGTGGAAGGCGAGGAAAGATCACTGCGCCAGCCTGACTCCCCTGATAAATGTGCACACTGTAAAAAAAAAAAAACCAACAGAATTAAGGGACGGGAAGAAAGATTTTCAAGTGTTCTGCATCAGATAAAATAGAATTTAATTGACAGTCTTCAAGTCTAGAAAACCTGAAATGATTATAGCCCATTATATAGGCTAACACATCCTTCTAAGAAACCCACTAGGAGATTTCATAGAATTTTGCTGGATTGAGAACGGTATCCGCTCCTTTCACAAGCAAAGAAAGTACAGTTGGGGGTGACCGACCGACACCATCTTGCCTGACTGCAATTTTGTCGCGATGTGCGGCTGTACCACTGCGTGTACATAGTACAAATCCCCTGGTGTACGTGCGTCACACACAAGGAATGGTGCGCGTCAACCAGCTACGGTCCCGCCCATGGGACGTCATTGCTAGGTAAAAGGGCGCCCTCTTTCGATGGCGCACGGAGCCCCATAGCCCAGCCACTTTACATTGGGCTTCATGCCCCTGGAAGGTCAAAGAATATTATAATGTACAGTACCAGTACTTCTACCATATGTTCCGTGCACGTTTGTGAGTTTTGGAGGATTCGGGAAGAACTTGTCCATCAACTTGGGAGGAAGGCCAAAGGGGTCATGTCCCCCCCCCCCCTCATAAAAAGGTGAGGGTTGTTAAATAATAAACCAGAGAAGGAGAAGAGGTGATTTATTTTTTTTAATGATGCTTAAAGCCTACTCATTCCCTTTTCATAAGTGTCCAATCAACATTTAGGCCTAAATACATTATTAGGCAACCAACATGACACCTTTCAAAAAGAAATATTCCCATTTTTTTTCTGCCCCCCTCCCCAAAAAAACTTTTTTGAGATCTGCTAGTGTCGGGACAGTAGCCCGTAACTCCTCAGCCTAATGTACTAGCAACAATACCCATTCTGGCAAATTCCAACACCCACATGGGAAATTGTACGCACACACTGTTGGACTTAGTTTCTGCCTGTACGCCAATGCAACCCCAGTGTAAAAGACCATCAGTTTAGGGGTAGGCCTACTGTACCTATCCCAACAGATTTATACAAAACCTGCTGTTGAACTTTGATGGGTTGAGTTCAGTTAGGGTTAATCTCAGTCTTTAGGAGGTATAATTAAAATAAACATAACATGGACATTTTGAGAAGGGGGCAAATGGGACTAGGGGTTTCTCACTGTGGGTAGTGATTTCTCGCTGCACTGCTTGTTGGTCAATGCAGTGCTCCCTTCTAGAAAATTCCTGGTGATGCCCATGGACATAAATGTTCACACAGACGAATTGTGGGCAGTAAAAAGGTGAATAACGTAGAGCAATTTTCTTGTTAAATTTTCATGACTTTTAATCATAGAACATTTTACTGTGAACGTGTTTGTGTGAGTTCTCTGCTCTGGAATAAAGCTTGTAATTGATGTGCAGAATGTGCATAATTTACAACGTTGTGATCACTCTGAACTTGACATTTTTATTATATCATGCTGTGTTAGTTGAAGTTTAAAGCCCATCTTCATCTGTCAATATGCCGAGTACCCAAACCATATGGCGTCAAGTCCCCGTATGAAAGGTTGATGATGCATGCGGTAGAGTCTTCCGCATCATCAACATTTCATACAGGACTTGAATTAGTAATGAACCTTTTTGGTTGGCAATTTGTGGCAATTTAACGAGAGCCCTATTTTAATTACCCGCTTGACTAGAGAGCAATTAAGTGACAACTTCCCCAGTCAATGTCATGGGCTGACTGCTTGTGCTCAACTGTGGGCATATATTTCCAGGTGTTTTATGTCGTGGCAACTGGCAACTGCATTTGTTGAAAATATGTGGTGATTTACGGAACCCCTAAATGCACACGTACATCTACATGTATTTGTGGTACATATTGACATTGGATACATCTTGATGCTTGAATAGTTTCCTAAATTGAAGTCAGTAAATGTAATTTGGTAGCTGAATGGCTGAATGATGATAGCATATCAAGTGGCTAAGCACTCAATATTGCTCACGAGCTTGTCTTCAACCATTTAGAATGCCACGGTCCAGTGGTTATGGTGTACGATGGTGCGTGACTTCCAACCCTGCCAGGAATATGGCGTTTGTACCCTTGGGCAAGACACTTAACTACAATTGCCTCTCTCCACCCAGGAACGTGGTCTCGTGGCCTGATTAACGGGGGAATAATTGTAAAGTGCTTTGAGATTGTTGATATGGAAAGTACTACATAAGCATTAAGGCCGGTTCATACTCAACGCGAAAGCAAACGCGAACGCGAATTTGTGAAGTCAGGGCAAGTCTTTAAAATCGCACAAGTTAAACACATTTTTACTCCGGCGAATTTCGCAGCGAATGCTTCGTGGCTCCAAATTTGCATCGCATTCGCATGAAGTATGAACCAGGCTTTACAATTTATTTATTTATTTTCTTTATACTGTTCAAAATGGATATCTACATGTATATTGGTATCTGTCACTTAAACAGTTGTGTTACTAATGATCTATTCCTTTATGGAAAATCAATTTTTAAAACCATTTTTAACTGAGGGCATTTTGAAAAGGTTCAGGCTATTTTATTACATATCCTTACAATTTGTAACTAGCCCTTTCTTACTTTTGGACATTGTTGAATCGTTTCAAATATTTTCTGTACTGAATTTTCTGTTCTTGTTCTATTCTTTTTTTTCCCGTACAGTCGACTGCCTGTGTGGATACAGAAATCTTTATCAAAAATATGCAACTACTTTTACGTCACCGAGAAAGCTTGGAACTACTTCCCTCACACCATCACAGGTTGGTCATTCAGCTTCTCCATCTCTAGTTTATCGTTTTTATTTGATTTTACCTTGTTTGTTTGTTTGGGGTTTTTTTAAGTGGAGTGGAGTGCTGTGGCCTTGTGGGGTCTGGTGCATCATGGAGCTATAAATTCGTGGTCTGCGGGTAATTCTGCAGGTTGAGGGTTTGAGTCCAACCTGTGGCTACCGTGCGTGTGCCCTTGGGCAAGGCACTTTGTCACTCATTGCTTCTCTCCACCCAGGAGTAAATGGGTACCTGTGAGGGCAGAGATGGTTATTGTTGTTGATTTTAGCTGCTTTGCGCCGAAATGGCAGCATCCAGCTGTATACTCCCCAGGGAGCTGAGATGGTATTTGGTATGTTTAATTGGTCCAATGAGCAGAGGTTATAATGATGTGAAGCACTTTGATCTTACATGTACATGTAGTTAAAAGCGCTAACCTTCGTTATTATTATTATTATTAAATTATAGTTTCACAGGCCTGACATTTTTATCTGTGCAGAATTTTCCTTTGCTTTTGACAAGGCATGAATCAAAACAATCATTTCAAAACATAAATTTCTTTTCAGTAGGAAGTTTGCAGTTTCAGGTAATTCTGTAACAGCATTCATTTATTTGTCCTGTGTTTCACTTGACATGTTCGTATATCTTCTTTTTTCAGTTGGTCATTTTAGTAAGGAAGAAGGAAACTTAAAGTTATGTGATGGTAGTTCAAAAAGTTTAACAGGGTAAACCACACCTGATTTCAAAGCCATGTGTTGTAATGTTTACGGGAAATCCCACCGACCACTTTCACAAAAACCATTGTGAAGTTTACAAGAACATGGCCTTGTTATGTTCCCATTAGCGTGAGACGATTGCTGGAACATCCTGATGGGAGGACATCCTTTTCACGTTGTGGGAATTCCCACCCAAAGCTTTACGGCATAAAATGTACAATGGTACAATCCTTTTTTTCATGTAGATGATCAAAGTTGCTTGTTTGTTTTTTTTGTGTGGAGGAAGGGTGGGTGGGTTTAGGATGGCAATCTGGGGAGTTAATTTCCGTTAGCTATAGATACTGGGTTTTCCCAGGATCAGTAACATTTTAGCTTCTTCCGTTGCTCACCGTTTTTTTTTTTAAGAATGGTGTGAAGGATATATGGATTGGATTTCATGTACTATGTATGGTTTTTTTGAAGTGTGGCAAAAGATTTGTAGATGTTATTAAAAAATTGGACAACAGGTTTTGAAATTCTTTGGTGTACATCCTAAGATTCATGTCAGTAACCAAACATGATGTATTTTGATCATATTTTTCAATAATTCCAAAAAAACATTTCTGGTTTTGTACTTTCAAAGGATTTTTTTTTTAAAGTTGCAAAGTCTGTATTTCATTATTAGGCCCCCCAAAAATATAGTCGGTCTCTGGTCAGCGCACACGTCGATTTTGATCATCAAAATTATCTGTGATAGCTACAACTGCGGCCTCTATTGCCGCATCACCTCAAATTTTCGTGGGCAGCTCGACTCCAAAATGATGGAGGGCACCAAGGTAAATGATGGAGGACACCAAAGTTCCATATACAAGGACAAAAAAAGAAAAATAGTGCCCACGTATTCTGTACAATCCAACCTGGAAAAAAATAAGGAAAAAACACGGATCGCCACATCAATTCCGGAATTTTGGTCTGACCAGAGACCGATTTTTTTTTTTTTTTTTGGCCTTATGGTGGACAATCACATATAATGTACTTTCACGGTACAATAGCAAGCACACTGCACCTTAAATGACCTCTGCACACACTCACTAATGAAGACATTTATATTGGCAGGGGCCATATAGACCTTTTGGTTGCTGATTTCGCAGAGGGTAGGCTTTGTTATCTTAATTTGTGAACAATGAATGCGCAAAAGATTTACTCATGCCTATCCAGGAAACAAAAGCATTGCCCTCTAACTCCGCCTTAACACATAAGGTGTATGGGCAAAAACTTTCAGGCAACTGTTACAGTAACAAATTTCATTGCAGTAAATTCTTTGTCAAAGACGGTGTAACCTTAAAGTTGAAAAGAAAAAAATTGAAGGTTCGTGGAAGAGCTTGTCCTGCAGACAAAGACCTGAGCATGCCACTCTGCACGTATACATACTGATGCACATAATGTCAGAATCTATGCAGATGTATACGTGACTGGCTCTCAAATTATACGCCGAATTGATTTTTTTCTCCCAGGCTACGTCCGCAGCTTCCGTGACAAATTCCGGCCATTCCGCGCACCTGCTCTTACTCACAATTTCTTTTTTGTGTCCATGTCGATCTCCTTTGAATTACTGCTTTTTGAATAAAGAAACGTGTACAATGCACTTTTGTGCACATGCATAATGAGCTGTATACATGTGTATACAATGTGTATACAATGTATATACAATGTATATACAATGTATACATAGATTCTACCATGTCTACAGTGCAGAGATTTCTTAGCGCGGCAATTGTACATGTACAATTGAATTGTGGTCCAGCCAACTGCCACCTGATCTATTCATCCCATCTAAGATGCCTACTATACCCCGCGGCCGCCGCGAGGGTACACCGGCCGAATTTGCTCGGTCGTCGCCGATCATGTGTCAATTTCATCCGCGAATGATGAATAGAATGCAGGACTACGGGTCGAGGATTTGTGGTAGCAATGGGTCAGCATCTGATATTGCGTGTATTGAACTTCCTGCCCCCGAAGCTTAAGGAAACAGCTGATGTAATTTGTGAGGTGTTGTTACACTGGATTGTTGCCAATAATGAGGTTTTCTAAATATATGACAAGGATGACGGATTTTAAAATGTCCATATAGCCAGGAATATGACTTTCAGTGCAAACAGACTATTTCCACATTTGTTATATTAAAAGATGCCGGGAAAATTAATATTGTAAGGAAAAACATATATGAATGGACACATGTACATGTAGGTTTACAACATTTCGTGTGGTAACAAGGTTTTCGCTTCGTATTTAACTGTTAATTTAACTTCTAAGAGATTGCCCAATGCCCAGTATTATTTTTAAGGAGAAAAAATAGGTTTTCAACTACGAGCCAACTACATGTAGTAACATTTTGTTCGGTAAAAGGTTTTTTGTGTGTTTAAATCAACATTTGTTTTTCAGTTTTAAAGCTGCTTCCCCCGTGCTCTTCGACACATTTTTTTTTTTTTTTTTTGAGAATTGTTTTTCGTTTTGAGAATTGTTTTTTGTTTTGCTGAAAGAACATGTACTTTTTTTGTGATCCGTGGGCAGACCTTTAAAACGGTGTTTGTGTTCAAAATTCCGCTACTTGAAAAGTACATGAGTGATTTGAATGATTCTTGTACTAAAAAAAAGCTTAATGACTAGGCTTTCATATCCTAGATTTTGAAAGTCCTACAGGCAAAACTTCATTCGAAAATAAGTCCTGCCATTTGGGATGCGTTTTTTTTATACTCACCCTGTAGAAAAGGAATCTATTTTTCGGTATGAAACTTGAAAATACTGGTATCACTGAGAATGCTTTAAGAGATTGCTAAGTTTATTATTTTTAAGAAAAAAATGGGTTTACAAAGTTCTACATGTATTCATACATATGCAAACACATAAACAAATTTGTCTTATAAGAGGTTTTTGTTGAGCAAAATTAAGTGCGTAGCACATCTGTGACATAGGCCAAGTATTCCCTGGCCATTTTCACAGCATGTCCCCTCTGCAGGCGCTTTGTATACATCATAGCCACCCGGGGCTAAGTACGTTAATAAATGTTGTCAATCATTACAAGTCAACATGGACACCTTCATAGATCAGTTTCCGTCAATATTTAAAAAAAAAAAAAAAACCGGCTGTGTTTGAACAAGCAGAATGCCCAACAGGGGTGCAATTTCATAACTAAAACAAAAGCTCAAACCTCAGCATTTTGGAAAGTTCACACCAGAGACTCGATTTTGTTTTTTTATTGCTAATCTCGGAGATTGCTTCTTGTTCTTGGGTTACACTGTGCGAGATCCGATCATCCGACCCGCAGACGCGTTCGATATCATCGGGGGAAATGTACTGTTTCTCGCGAAAAGATCAAAGGTGGTCGTTGGGCTGCATCTTTGAAATGTTCCGAGAGACGTGGAGGAGGGGGCGATTTATGTGGGATGATTAATCGCTCTGTTTGTGCCCTTTGGTTTGATCACTGGTGGGATCCACATACCTGCAGTTCCAATTAAGTACAGGTCATATGGAGATCAAATTTCTTTGGTGCAGAGGGAACATTTTTAAGTACAAGTTACATGTAAATGCCAAGAAAAGACAAAGGTGAAAATGAGCAGCCCTCAGGATGTATTACTATCAACTCTTACCCTCCCAAATCCATCAAAGTCCATTCCCCTATTTTGGGGATTTTGGTAGGCAAACCATGAGTACCAATTCCATCAAAATCCACCTACCGATATACATGTAGTAGTGGTGGTCTTTTCGTGGATTTTATCAGATTTGGTCCTTAAGCATTATGTGAAGCAGGGTCGGTGATGGATTTTGGCGGACTAGGTCCAGTACACCAGGGAGTTAGGGTTGATAAACATGGAAAGTTACATTGCACGTTTTTCTTAATTCTATGTAACACAATTACATGTATGTACCGTATGTAGTAGGAATACTAGTGGTTCATTAGAATATTCTCAAATCATAGTGTGGAGGGTAAAATGACACACAAAATAATTGCTAGGACAAAAAGAATAAACTACAATAAAACCCAGTCAGTTTTGAGGTGTCGTGTACTGGTATTGGTCTAGTGTCAAATTTCAAATATTAATTCAAGATTTGCTAAAGTTCTTACAGTACAAAATGGGTGCAGGACAAATGTATGGTGGCAAAATATCAACTGTACCGTAATTTCATCCCCTTAAAGGATGACGGGCTTAAACTTAATTAAATCAATTGGTTTTGTTTGTTTTTCAATAAAATCCCCTAGGTGTGTTGCCCAAGGCTCTTTGATTGGTTGGTTATAAAAGAAAAATTGAAAAGACAGATCATGGACAAATTCATGTAAAAGTAAACGAAGTGGCTATCGTTGCGGCAGCCGTTGTTTAGCGCCCTCTACGATACTTTTTTGATACGCACGCAGGTATATAATTATTTGTTTCCCCACGTTTTAGCGAGCAGTGCGACAGCTCAGTCGATAGAGGGTAGGATTTTGCACCGCGAGGTTGCGGGTTCGCATCTCAGTTTTGCACTCGAATTTTTTTCCTTTTCTAACCTGAGGCTTTGGAGGATTTTTTTTTAAAAGGGAAATAAAGTCCGAATTTCATAACGTTCAAATTCACTTTTTTTCCTTCTAATTTTATATTTTCTTCTCATGTTTTTATAAAAGTTGTAGTCTACCGTAACGATAGAAAATGGGAAATGCGTTACGGCTGCCGTAACGATAGCCACTGCGAAAAGTAAACTCCAACACTCCTGTAAAACGCAGTACAGGATAGACATTTATTACTCAATACAACTCAATGCAATTAGCTCCCTGACCCAAGACTCCACGGGGATGGTCAAGGGTTGATGAAAGGGTTTGGTATAAACGTCCTCGAAAAGCACTTTCACTAATTTTATGGTTTCTCAGCCCTTGAAAAAAAAAAAAACGGCCCTAGATCTAGACAGGTTAATCAACACTATACCCTGAGGCGGCTACACCAGTGAATGCATAAGAAAATGGTAACGATTATGGCCCTTTTAAGGGGGAAATAAGAGGCCGGCGGAGGAAAGGGGGCACCGGTGGTTTGGCCGGTGCCCATGCTATTCAATTAATTCCAATTTAAGTGCAGGTGGTATTAGGTTACCCCGGTAACCACAAGATTTTTAAAGACCGGTTGGACTGCCGCGGAGAAGGCACGTACGCTTTTAGAATAAGAACATTGACAGTGTTTCTAAGGATTACGTAGGTCGTCCAGATGGGTCTGTAGAGGGTAGGGGTAGATCGCCGAGCAAATCGTCAAACAGGTCAGGGTGATAAAGGCTGTAGGCCTGCTTCGTATTTTGAAATGAGATGAAACCAAAAAACCTGTTATCCAAGGGCTGATCCAAGGGCGGATGCTGGGGGGGGGGATACTGGGGGGGGGGGGGGACAGGGCAGGCTCCCCCTCCGAACCCCCTGGATCAGCCACTGATATAGGAATACTGACAGGTTTTTATCTGATATTCACAACTTACATTTGTAAACCAGCACACACACTCCCGTGTTAATGTTTCTACGACAATGTCTAAATTTTCAATTTAATTGTAAATATGCTGGGCAGTTCAACTGATGCAGCTGTATAATATTGAGTACAGACTAAGATACGTAGAGCGTCTGTTGTTTGTTTCAGCAGGAGTTCATCTGTTCAGGAATATTTAGGGAGCTTTCCTGTAGATGAAACAAAATCGAACTATGAATACCTATTGCATGAAGGATCAAAATTACTTTAACGCTCCATGGTTGTTCTTCATTAAACTTTTTTTTCTAATGAAAACAGTATCCATATCCATCACTCCTTCGGGTCAATTTATTAATCTCTATGTATTTGGCTGATCGTGTTTGTATTGGACGTTTTGAGGATTAAATTAATAGAGACTGTTGTCAATTATGTTCAGTGCGAGCAGCCAGTAAACTACCTTAAGTGTGGACTGTCGATTGTTAGTTTTATGGTCCGGTAAGTTTCACAGGGCCAACTGGGTCAGGGAAAAATAACATTGTTAGTTTTACATCACTGAAAAGTCAGTCGTTAACAATCACTTACGGTAACTTTTTTCTAAATAAGTCCAATGCGAACGCAACTTAAGAGTTTGGTTTTTGTCTAGACCTCCAAGACCACGATTTCAAAACTCGAACCAGATATATAGGTTCACACATACGTACCGGTAGTACTGCTGTTCCTGGAAATCAAATGGCAAAAAGAAAAGAGAAAGAACGTGAAATGGATCCTGTTTTGCCTTTTAAGTAAATGTACACTGATGAAAGAACTCGTTTTTCCCCCGAGGCTGTTTCGATTTCCTCTCTCTTGTGTTTGACCACAATGTTCAAAGTAGAAGTTGCAGTTGCCTTGTCACCAGACACCTAGATACATGTACCTCATCCCCTTCTGCAAGCCTTTTCCTTGAATCGTAGAAAAGAGAAGGGAAAAAAAAGACAGAGCGAGTAGTCGTCCCTGACTTGACGTAGTGCTGAATGCAGATAGACCCTTAATTGCGGTTTACCTAATCACTTGGGCATGCCTGCCTGATCCCCTCTATTTGGGCGATGATTTGCCGAGTGATTGATGGCCGACTATCACCTCTGCAAATGAGATCAGGACTGGCTCATTCTCTGCCAATTGCAATTAACTGGTTCATGAACTCGTATACGCGTAGGAACTGTAGATGGCATTTATGGCCTACTTACGAGAGCAAAAGTGAAGGGCAAGTTGTGCGCACATGGTTCGTGCGCGCGTTTTCTCTGCTGATCTGATACACCGTGCCCCCTGGAGACATGCACACTACAGGGAACAGAAGATTGTATGCGTCTCCACAGGGCAATTTCTATAGATGAATACGTCTCCATAAGGTTATCACGAAATAGATATATGGACTTTACTCAAAAAGTAGGAATTTCCAAATGGAAGAGTTCTGGAAAAGGGATATTAAGTCCGAATTTCAGCCAAGGAAATTAATTCTGGTTAAAGTAAGAGCATTTTGAAACTACACTTTCAAACTCGAAAACTTTACTACACGAGAACAAAGAAATGTCTCCACAAGGATGCAAATTCCAGTATGGGTGTTAATAATTAACTTGTGTGTGAACTCAGAAGTGTACTGAGATGGCAGTGTGTGGCCTACTCAGCAGCAGTTTCCTTTGACTGGGCCTTTTGCATTGTTTCTTTGGGGCACAGATGTGCAAGCTCCAATTGGGAACCACCTTTTACCTGATTTTTTATCCCTTTTTAATCGTGTTATAACATTTTAAAGTTGTTAATCCTTTCCTTGAAACTTCAGAAAATCACTGTAAGCCTTTTTATACAGACTTGGCTTTCAACCTTGAGTATTCATGGCATGAAAATGTGTGGCAAAGTGCTATTTAAAATAACATCAAATTTATGAAGTTGAAACACTTTCCAGAGCAGTTGCGGCCTGTGTACCTATGCCTCGGGATGTTTGGGCAAACTACACGATATGCATGTACACGATATGTGTATGCACATGCGGCGTGCTAACCATGGCAAAACCACTTACGAAACACAGCAAAATATGGACAAGCTGGCTCGCAATAAGGTGTGGCTGGCTGCAGCGATGACAAGCAGTCAAGTACCCATGCTTGCTTACTCTCCAAGAAAACTATCGAAAAATTCAAGGAATGTGCGTCCGAATCCCTATGCTTTTGAAATACTGCACGGAATAAAAGATTTTTCGCACTGCATACCGTATGCAAATTAATTACGCAACTCAGTATGCTATATTCAACGGAAAACACAAGAGGACACTCGCAATGCTTCGACAACTTTCGCATCGCTCGTTTATGTTAAAAATATAAGACATCGACAAAGAAACTTTTTACAGACGGGACCTGGCAGCATAATTACAGAAATTTAAGTCTGGCCGGTCACATATGTAATGTTTAGAAGTAATGTATAATTGTTGCACTTGCATGCTCAGGGCATTCCAAAAACTTGTGGAAAAAAGTTTGCAAGCTAACTTGGGTAAAAGGGCTCAAACCCACAACTTGTCCGTTTTCTTCTTACAAGTACTAACGTCATACTATTGAAGTTTTCAGAACAAAGAGTGGTTATCATAACGAAAGCTTTACATTTAGCCCGCCACAAAAATGTAACCAGATGATAATTGTGATTAGAATGCTTTACTGTTTCTATAGGGACTAGAACAATTATACTGCATGCAATTCTAATTTGTGCTTTTTCTCCCCACTCTCGTTATATTTTTCATGCAACTTCTGCTGTGGCTGGTTCTGATCTGATGGATTTCCTTCATCGTGATGTGATCCCATGATAATGAATCACCCGGCCGGATTTCTTGAATTTCCTACCACAGAATACACAGTAAGTGCATGAAATTACACACAGTAAACGCGATACATGTATTTTACATTGTCTCTTTTTTTTCTTTTTTTTTGGGTTATTTCTCCATACACACAAAATGTAACTGCCATCGCAGGATTCCTGGATTAAAAAAGAGCCAGTCGTTCAGAAATCAGATTCTGCGTGCGTGGATTTAATTTCCCTTTCAGGATAACACCTGGATTTATTCCCATCCTCTTGGGAGATGCATCCAGCGGAGATTGTATCTGCAGTTACAAACAGGATTTGGATATCAAGCTAGACTTGGTTCAAGTCTGAAGCCTGGTTGATGTTGGCCATGGGCGTCAATCAGTGGGGGACGGGGGACAAGTCCCCCCTCTCCCCCCCACCCCACTTTTTTTAAAGTGGGGGATATCATATCATTTGTCCCCCCCCCCCACACTTTTTTCGTCCTCGAATAAAAATTGTAGCCTACTTTAATGATTCTATAGCTCAGAATAGCTGATTCAGTGACTCCAAACTCGAAAATGATGTTTGAAAGATGATCTTTTGCTGAACAAAAAAAATGGTTTTAGTGGTCAGAAATTGCCTCAGATGGCACCACAGAGCGTCGAGCATCCAACATTTTTCGGGGCCCTTAAGCAGGCCCCGGACCCCAAGCCGTTAGAGCTTCGCGCTCGCATTAGTGCTCATCAAGGTATGTCCCCCCCCCCCCCCACCACCTGCGAGAAGCAATTGACGCCCTTGATGTAGGCACTTATTTCCCACGAAATCGGGCACCTGCGTAATGCTGTGGTCTTTTCTTGGCAAATTGCCACGAGCAAATTTGAGACTTGAAACAAGTCTAGTAATTTCAGACAGACACCAGCATTTCTTAGGAAGCAGTTGACTTGCAATGCTCATAGTGGTTGGTACCAGACTAACAAAAAATCATAGGCTGTGTGACCTTGCATCAGTTGAGCCAGTCACTGTGCTGATTGATCCAATAAGTCCGATCCCGGACCCAAATTACTTCTGTGAATGTAATAATACAGGAAGCTATTGGAAGTTGACTCAAAGTAGGCTGATGACAAGAAGGCATTCCTTCCTGAGTTCCTGATAATCTTTTTCTCCTTGATGAAAATTCTTAACGCCCCAAATTAAATGACGTAAATCGAGAAAGCTATTGAAGAAAATCTCTGACGTGTAGTAGCAAGCGTTGAAATGAGTATTGACTTTAACTGACGTGTAGTAGCAAGCGTTGAAATGAGTATTGACTTTTCTAACTGATCTTACAAAGACGTTAAAAAAACTACTACACGATTTGGGTTGCAGACCTTTAAACAACAGGTCAGGGGCGGGATACTTGCCCAGGCCAACAATTGTGCCCCTCTCACGGTTATAAATGTGCCCCCTCGAGATGAAAACAAAACTGCCCCTCAAACGCACACGTATGAAAGCATATAATCGCGCTACAAATACAATTGTCTCCTCTCTTGTAATGCAAAACTGCCCCTCAAAAACAAAAGTAGGCCCTACCCCTCTCACATTACCAAGATTGTGCATCTTCTCGAGATGGAAAACTACCCCTCAAAAGCACAAATACCCCTCTCGCAATAATAACATTATGCCCCTCTCGAGATGGAAAATTGGCCATCAAAACAATAGTGCTCCTCTCGCGATAACTTCTCGAGATAGAAAACTGCCCCTCGAAAGCACAATTAGTGCCCCCTCGCAACATTAAAATTGTGCCCCCCCTCTCAAGATGGAAAACTGGCCCCTAAAAAATAATTTATTCACACGAATAAAATGGTCACTGAACTGGTCGTCAAAACCAACAGTGCCCTTCTCGCATAAAAAAAGGTCTCTCTACGTAACTAGGTAAAAGAAACACAAAGAGCAAGATGGACAACGTATTCATAATTTGTTCCTTGTCATGAACGGGACCATATGATGATATTCTTTTCCTCCACTTTCACACCGACAGAAAGGCGCCCCTTTTTCTGAGCAAGCACCCCTTTTTGGTGTTGGCCCCCCAGTTCGAAAAGCATTCCGCCGCTGCTGGGAACCGTTCATTCAATCTTGGGTTTTACTGTTAATTCATTGATGTACTGTATTTTCATAAGCACTGTATTCTCAGTGCTGTCCGATGGCTTGCGAAAATAATCCCAAGCTTATTAGGGAGGGACTGGAACCCATGACCCCCTGCTTACTAGTGCAGACGTCTTACCTAGCTTGCCGGGATAGGCTGGCTGAGTTGAATCTAATATATTAGTCAGTACTGCAACCAATCACTATTATGATGCAATTTGGCATTTGGGAGATGTAAATTCACTATTGGATTTTGCTCTTCCGAAATTTTGTCAGGGAAGGACAAAACTTAATATCGAATTCAGGAACTGTTTAGATGTTCTTTTCATGTTATAAGAATCATAAGCCGAGTGAGCCAAAGGAACTGTTTAGATGTTCTTTTCATGTTATAACTAGAATCATCAGTTGAGCAAGCCAAATGTTTGTTCTATCTAATATTTTTTTTAAAGAGGTTGTGGAATGCTCAAAGACATTTCCGTCATTTTTCGGGTATATGTAGCCTAAGGTGTGATGAAATGAAAACGACTATTGTGTCTGTCATGAAATGAGTACAAAAGCTCCTTTTGAGAGCTGTTTTTTAGGTCCTGTTTCGACCCGAACGTGCAATTTGTGTAAAATTCGTCGTTGGGGGCAGCAAACAAAACATAGTAAATCGTGACGTAATAAACAGGACTCGTTTATACTACACTGTATCGGGAGTCCTGTTTATTACGTTACAATGCTCACAGTCGCACTATTTCCTGTTCTGTCTGTACCCGAAAAATGGCGGAAATGTCTTCGAGCATCCACAACCTCTTTAATGTTCTGAGGATCTATCTCATGAGATTTCCGGGCTCGCAGTCGCATTTATTTCCTGTTCTGTCTGTAGACATAAACAGTCTACAACTTTCTTTATCCTCTCTTCCAACCTCTGACCTCAACCATTCATTCAAGTTATCCTTTTTTTTATTTTGCAGTGTTCGTTTTTACCGAAGTTTAGCATCTTTATAGAAACAAGATACGAAAATAATTCTGGAACTACAGAAAATGTAAGTAATTTATTTGTTATTGGTGGGGAGGGGATTTTTTTCCATGCATTTCACAATTTAAAAATTTCTTTTTCAGCCAAAGAATGAAACTGAAAGAATAGATATTTGATATTCAATTACAGTGCTCTTGATGTCCTATGTATGAAAATAATGAAAATTGTCATCCACTGTATCAAACTAGATCACAAGAGATAAATTTCCTGCTAAAAAAAATATCCAAAAGGATTTTTTTTTCAGGGGGAGATGATGATCTGAAAATATACTTTCAAGTTAAATCATTAAACTGTCTATTAACAAGGGCTGTCCCGACAGATATTCAAATATTCAACCATTAACTGAATATTCGAATGGCTTTTTGCCGGTTTGAATATTTGGAAGAAAAAAACTGTGCACGTGTACACACGACTGTGGTGTCATTTTAATCATAAAGTTGCAATTTTTATTGTCAGATGCCACTTTTTTTTGTCGATGGTAACTTTCTTGTCAACACCTATTTATTGGCACCTTTCTTTTAGCTGGGTAAAGTCCCTGGACGGTTATACAGTACAAACTGCTCAATACCCCAGCGGCCCATGATAGCCATCGCCGCATGTAAATTTTAACCGGCGCGCTTCGTATGCAACTTTTGACCAGCGAGGAAGGCAGCTGCAGCTGGCATTAGTGCACATTGTGAAATGTCAATTCCTGACTCTAATGTTAATTGTGAAACACAGAAATAAAAATTCATACCTTACAGCTAACTACTTTTATTTATACATATAAGGAAATATATGTTGAATTATCATTGTTTTAATACGCATAATTCTTCAAATAAGTCTAAAGATAGGGCGCATTTTCTAATCGTATACGATTTATTAGTCACCAGGGACGAAATATGTAGGCTAATGACAACAACATGAAAACGAATGACAAAAAACGAATTTGCTTTGTCAATTCAACGCCGATTGCTTCACGAGACGAATTTCAAAGATTTTGGACGAATCGGAATGCTAACAATTCGAATTATACTGAACCTTAAATGAAATCTAGTTGTGGCTTTTTGAAATTCAAATTGAGAATTGAGCTTGGCGATGTTCGGGGACGAAATAAAAGTATCGATATAGGGAATTCGTGTGATACAAGTGTTAAAATAACCGGGAAAACCTATATTAACTACATGTGTATTAAGTCTTGCTTCCTCATTGCAAGAATCAAAGTTGGCAAATTATTGAGGATTCACATGCTGTAACCCCATGCAATACAAAAGAAGTCTTCTAATGGAATTTCTTTGTGGGTGAAAACCTAGAGTGTTTTTGTTGTCCTTCTAGCTTTGCAGTAAGCTGAAGCTTTATGTCAGTATAAAACCAGGAAACAGAAATAAAACTGGATAGGACACATGTATGCGTGTATATACAGTTAAGATTCATAAAATGCGTAGCAGTATGGTAGGGGGTTCTCTCATGCATACTTAAGATCATTAATTTTATAGGCTGGTTCAAACTTGATGGGAAAGGGAAAGGGAAGTGAATTTCATGACGTCAACAACGGGAGACTTTTGAGACGTTGGTGGCAGCAAACACACCGGTCCTTTTTCAATTGTTTACGTCATGTTTAAGCTAAAACGCGCCTGCTCAACATGACGCAAACAATGGAAAAAAGGACCGGTGTGTTTGCTGCCACCAACGTCTCGAAAGTCTCCCATTGAAGTATAATTGTGACGTTTGGCATTAGCCCAACGAATTTGCTTCGCACTGAAATTCACCAGAAATATGAACAACTGGCCGTATTTGTTGTTATTATCATTCCTCCCCCCCCCCCCTCCCGCCGCGCCACGAACAAAAGAGGAACAAATGAATGTAAATTTACTCACAGACTAATATTTCCATCTCAGTGTGTTTGTTTTGGTCTGGTGTGATGATGCATTTCAAATATCTACCCCTGAGAGAAAACGCGCTGTTTATGCAGTGGCAGGCACTGCGACCTATCCAGTCTATCAAGATCAATGAGATCAATGGAATCAGCATGGTTAGTCCGTCCCAACACTTTGAAAAATATTTAAGAACGGTGATTCTTGTCCCGTTAGGTCTCATCTGATTCCCTGCGACATGCAGAATAAATGACAGGAAATCATTGCCTAAACAAATCGTGACAGGCCGGTGAAATTGCATTCGGAAACATTGACATGTAAGGGAGAAAATCAATATTGCCACTTTTCATTGAAAGGTTCATTTGCCCCCGAAATTCCCAAGCTTGATAAAACATTTTGCCTACTTTTATTTTGGGAAGCCAAATTGATGGTCTGGAGCATTTCCTGAAGATTTTGCTAGTTTTATTTTTGCTGTTCGCACAGAGTCTTTGTCTTTCCAATGAGATTCTACCCGTGATAAAACATTGATTTGTAGATGTCGTTTCCATTTCCCGAATTTGAGTCTGCAGCACTTAGACTTTTCTTTTTGACTTGTTTCCACAGTGCCTACGTCTTTCCAGCGAAGAATTAAAGGAGCGCCAAGTCTTACATTTAGACATCGCCTACGATGATATACCAGAGAAACACTACAGGGAGGAGGAGGTAATTGATTGTTTCATCTGCCAAGCCTGGTACTGGCCACAGGCCAAATAAATGGCCAGTGAAATTCTGGCCAGTCTGAGACCTGTAGACTAAAATGTCCGTTACTGAGATACTGCCACCTCAGCAAGCAAACAATAATAAATAAATAAAAACCCTGTTGGTTGCTTTATGGTTGAAGGAGCAGGGACATTGTCGAGCCCATCACAAGTCCTTGCAAGGCCATCACAAGTCCTCCAGTCCCAACTCAAATCACAAGCTATTCAAAAGAGCTTTTGACAAAGGCATTCCTTTGTTACCGCCTGTTCTTACTTAACGTAATACTGACAAAACAAAGTGAATTTTGTGATGTCAACAATTGCAGTTTCATTGTGAAGTTCGACGTTACTCTAACGGATTCGCTTCACACTGAAATTCACATGAAATGTGAACCGGCCGCAGCCTGTATTCTTCATCCACTGTTCCTCGTGACGGGACTCATGAATGGACTTGTGACTGGACTTACGATGGGCTAGACTACATCACTGTGGAGGAGCTTTGATGGCATCAAATTTTGGTGGTTGAATAAGTCTCACAGACCACAATTTTTTTGGCACTGAAAATTGCTGGGTTTTTTTCTGATTGACTGCAATCAACCAAACCACCAGTTACACGTAGTCTGACTCTTGTAAGCAATGTTGTCCACAAGAACTCCCCTCCAGCTAATTCGGTACATTACTGTAACACCTGTGTCAAGTAGACAATGAGATATTTGACCGTCACAGCAATTAGTTGAGGTTTGAAGGATACAAGCCTCATGAAGAGCACTAGATACAATAGCCACCAGGATATTGAAGGTCAATAGAGAGTACTTGCGGTTACATCATCAAGGGTACAGTTGTGACTGACAAAAAGTGTATACCTGCAAGTTCAGTGAATCTGGTACAAGGCAATAGTTACTGTATATATGGTGAACTTTTTAATAAGCCTTTTCGGAGTTCCCATTGCACATTCATAACCTGTGACAACGCGCATTGTTTGTCTCAAATGGCCTTTGACCAACATCGCGCCACTGACTTTACAAAAAGGCTGTTTGTGCATTGTGGGTACTGTCAAAGGGCATTTGAGACAAACAATGTGCGTTGTCACAGGTTACGAATGTGCGCAGTTGGAACTCCGAAAAGGCTTATTACGCATTACATGTATTGCAGAGAAATCGTCATTTACAGTGCAGATTCAGTTTCGTAACTGATGTTAAAATTCTGAGGGGGAACCTGAGGGTGCACTGCAAAAAATTGGGGGGCACATATGTCCGTCTCCCCCCCCCCCCCCCTCTCCATTGCAACACACCCCCCCCCCCCCCCCCCCCCACAGAATATATGGAAGAGACAATTCAACTGAATAATTGTTTGCCAAAATAGTAATGGCTTTCATGCAACTGTCACAATTTCTGTCAATTCATCCAAAGTTAATTTCAGTGCAACATCAGCAGTATTTGTTCAAACAAAATCAAAACATCTGTGTAGTTTTTACCCATTTCCTTCCAATTTCCTAGAAAGACCACACGAATAACATACAGAAGCACAATTTTCTGTTCCTTGTTTATTCAGGGTTTTCACAGATTCCGAACTCTCTCTTTCTCGTTTGTTTAAAGGACCTGACAAAATTCCAATCCAGGAAAACAGGAAGGGGACCTCTACAGCCAGGATGGAAGGTGAATAGAGTAATTGATGTTTTTTTTTGCCTGGCCATTCATATCCACTAGAGGGCGACATTTCCTTTCCATGGAGAAAGTTTGTGAGGAAGAATGAATTTGCCACTCTGATTGTATTGAGACTCGGAACAATGCTTTTTCCAGGTTTAATGAGACAAACTTCCTTTAATCGAAAGTATTGCTCCCATAAAAATAAACTTTTAAGTGCTAACATATGTATGCAGCCATGTTCCTTTAACTTTCCCGATATACCTACTTCAAATGAAGAATTTATTACCACAAATGCAAAAAAAGAAAAGTCAGAAATAGTTGCATGGTAACGAAAAGTTATAGAGCATACAACAGTAAAACAGCTGTTTCTAACATATTATTTTTTTTTGCCTTTTTGTATGGTGTTTATCACATTTTTGGAAACGAACTTTTCAAATTTTCTCTACAATGAAAAATAAAGTTACTTAATGTTTGTATGGTTCACAATCCTCGACCATAACAAATTCCCTATGTTTGTCAGTGTACACTGGCAATGGCACTTTAGGCCAAAATTCATGACTGCGCTTAGATCCAACGGAGGGACTAACAATGAAAATGTTGAAATGGTTGTGCACAGAAAAAAACACAGTCATTATGTGCAGATACATGTATTTGAGATTGTTATTTTTTTTTGTATGAATGCAGAAACAATGCGAGACCATCATGTGTTCGTATAAAGTGGTACGAGTCAAGTTTGAAGTCTGGGGCTTTCAATCCAGGGTTGAAAATGTTGTGCATAGGGTAAGTCAACTTTAGTTTTCCTGGTTTTTTCCCCTGTCAGTTAGATTAGAAACAAAAACAAAGGCGCATAATTTCATAATGTTGTAATTTTATTATACATTGCCGTAAATTGACATGATGAATGTGCAAACCAAGATCCACTTTGTGATGTCTGAGTTTAACATTGGATAAAGCCATTGTGTATACGTGTGTTTTTTAAAGTTATATTTATGTTTTTAATGATATTTACAGGCAATTCAAGATATCCTTTTGCTTGGGCACAAACAAGCCTTTGCATGGATTGACGAATGGTTTGGTAAGTACAGGCCGGCTTACAGGCTGCCCCGACTTTGAAAGCTTGAGTGAGAAACGATCGTGCCAATCCCCGGGGCAAACTCGCCCTGGGGCGAGATAAACAGTCTGAAACGAGTCTGAAACGGCGCGGGGTTGAACTCGAGGGTGAAATGTCAAAACTCACCCCGTGGTGTCCTCAGGGCGGCCCCGGGGCGAGGTCGCCCAGGGCCGAGTTCGCTCAGGGGATGGGTGTTGTAGTGGGAAAAGGTCTACTGAGTATACAGTGTCTTGTGACCTCTGTGAAGGGCAAAAACCTAATATTGAGTTATTTCTCTCGTTAATCACAGACATGAGCGAAGACGACGTCAGGAACTACGAGAAGAGACAGCAGGAGGCCACCAACACCAAGGTGCACTCCGGCCTGAAACGGGAGTCCAGCCGAGAGTCGGCCGAGGACGAAGAGTTCACGTTGGCCTCGGAGGAACCGCTGGAGGGGGAGGTGTTGGCCTCCAGTCCAAAGTAGAGGACTACCATTCCTTTCCCTTACCAATGGACTTTCCGTGTTGTGGTCAAGTCAATCAAATGTCAAGTCATATGTAGTTGGGGTACTCGTGATGGAAGTCTAGTCAGTTCAGATCTCTAGTCAAACACAGGATGTATAATAACAAAGGAACATCTCAGGCATGTCACGTTTCTTCCAATCATCTGTTTTCCTCGTTTACGACATTGCAAATTGAAAAACCCTGTAGAAAGTCTTGTAAAGTTTTGAACTTCCTTTTTTTTTTCCTTTTTTTTTTTTTTTTTGTTACTTCCCAGTTTCATGCCTGACGCCTTTGTCACTGTTAATTTGAATTACTTGTGAGTTGACTAGAGACCCTTTGATGACTTTGTGATAGACTTGTGATTGACTTGCCATTCATCACAAATACGTTGACTGCAATAACGTCGTCAAATGACTATCCATCACAAGTTTAATTGCAAGTAAAGGAGGAGATAAGTAACAGGAGACGAAGGATGACGAAGAGTGGGACTTAAAGCTACGTCTTCCTGCTTACTTATGACTGGAGAGTCATTGACTTGTGATTAACATATGATTGACTTGCGACTGATCTGTGACAGTTTGACAATAACGTTGCAGAGGTATGCACATCTTTAATGACGCCCCAATAACCTAGCGGTACGACATACATTTTCAAGTTGAAGTTGACCAAAAGTATATGCTGCTGTACCCAACTTGATACCCAACTTGATACCAACCCTGGTTGCCAATTTCAACCGGGAACCAATTTTTTTTATCTCATCTTTTTTCTAAAAAGGCCAAAAAAACAAAAGTTTAAAAACTCCCATAAACTGCTCTTCATGGGGATTAAAAATGTAATAGACTATTAAATCCACCCAAAAAAGCATTATTTTCGTTGAAGTCATATTGAAGGGGTGTGCATTTGGGATTCTAGCTAAAGTAGCCCTAGAGTGGTTTCTTGAGGGTACTGCAACTTGTGAGGTCTAAATAATGACCAAACATGAACACCTATTATTTTTGAGTGGATGTAGACAAGCGATGGAGCTAGCATTCTGTACTTAACACTGTGTGACCTGTTCAAGTTACACATCTTGCTTTAGGCCAAATTTTAAAAAGTCTCCGGTTTCTGGTGTGCGCGGCTGTTGCCATAGCCATGCGCGTCGGCAAAATGAAAAAGTTTTTTTTTTTCAATGAAAGATGATGTCTCAAAACCGCCAATCTCACTGGTTTGACTGGAATCCTGCTGCTGCACAGTTTTAACGTATTTTTAGATGGGGTTACGATCGAGTGTAAGCTTTATGTGGCCTCTCTGGACTCCCATATATTTGCACTAAGTTTAGTCGGGCACCATTGGCAGTCATCAGCCGACATTTAAAGAAAAAAAAACGGTAAAAAAAAAAAAAAAAGTCGCGTCGCCACACCTCTTTTGGGGCAAGCTCCATACCAGAAACCGGAGACTTTTTTTTTGGCCTTATAGACTATTTCAATGCACACAATATCGTAGCCATTATTTAGGTGTTGCCATGCACATTTTGGCAATGTTATTGGCCGAAAATGCATTTTGTGCACTTACGGCCTGCACGCGAATGTGGTATCAAATTTGGTAAAAGTCACTCAAGACGATGGTTACTTTTGCCATTTTGAGTCCATTGCAAACAGCCAAGAAATGTTCCTCTCAGTTACTTTTCCCCAGTCCGGTGGTTAACTTTACCCGTCAAAATTAGCTTCGTAAAAGTGACCAGTAGGTCTCGGTCAAAAGGTTTCCTGCGTCAAAAACCCAAGTACAGACACTGGTAAAATTTTACCCATTTGATTTTTGCCATTGTCTCAGAGAAATCTAATAAAAGAAATGATTTAAACGCAGCTACATTGAAGTTGCTAGATTATTTGATACACAGCTCTTGGGCCATGCGCAGAATGTGCTGATGTTGTGTGCTGTTTTAAAGTCATAATAGTACATTTGTATTAAATAATTTATGGGACTGTTGTTTTAAAGTGTTTTATATAACTGTGTTTTATATAACATACAGATCCTTATCAATTGGTTGTTGGAACTCACATCACGTAACATATTACTCCCATTCACGCCGGGGCTCAAAAAGTCCCATTCGCCCATGGGGAATGGGAAATACTGTTCAACAGTTTTAGGATCTTGTTCCATGACGCGGTATTTGTGCGCAAATGCATGCTGGTGTGCGCGTTCAGCGTTGCGCGTATTGTTCCAAAGAGCCAGTGCTACAGAGTTGAGTTCAAACATTTTCGTGAAGGGGTGGTTTGGAAGAGAAATACATTTTCCACCAATTTTGTATTGAAAATAAATGTTCAAATATATCAAATAACAAGGATCTATATGTCAGTTATATAAAACAAATATTGAGTGGCTTTAAATTGTGAAATGGGGGGAATATTATTGCTCGGTAAAATCTGGACTTTTGCAGTTCACTCGGCTTCGTCTCATGAAATGGAAAAGTCCAGATTTTACCTTGCGATAATATTCCTCTCATTTCACTCAGAGCCACTCAATATTTCTTATACTATTATACGTTCTGTTAATAAAAGTGTTTATGATTCATCATCATTACTTTCATAGACATGGGAAACAATCATGATCTGAGTGTAGCATTTAAGCAGGACTAAGTGTAGATTCACGGGAACAGGTCCAGCGTTTAAATTTACATGAACCCCCCACCCCTCCCAAATTATGATAGAACACCGTCTAACTGAATTATTTTTTAAAATATTAGTGGGTTTTTTTTCTTCTTTTCTCTTGAATTTATTGCATGGTAATATTTTAAGAAGATTTATTTATATATTAAGATATATTGTTTAAACCTATATAAAAAAAAAACATGAAAAACATGTATCTTCCGAACTATAATTTAAAAAAAGTATTGAGTTCTTATTGTAAAATGTATACATTGAAATATGAGTGGATATCAATTCAATTTGTAATTGAAGTTCACAGTTTTCTTCTCCCGCCAAAAGCAAGAATGAAGTGGTGATTCAACTGCTCCGTATAGTTGGATAAACCAACTACACGTACATGTTATTGTGCCAAACACTACAATCGGTAATGGACCAATATTGAACCGAAGGGTTTGTGAAGTCATGGGACTAAAAATCTTTAAGCTTGAGCCTGACGCCGAACTGGAGATGTAGCCATGGTTTGGCGAATGTTCTTTTCTGAAAGCAATTTGTCTCAATTTTGACTTTTGGGCTCTGTGCTTTCCTCTGTGCGTCAGTCTTGGCCTTAGACATCTAGAAAAAAAAAAACTGGACCTGACGTGTGCTTGGGCCCAATTGCATGGCTCTGCTTACCGTTAAGCAAATAATCCTTGCTTACTGAAAATTCCGTGCTTACGGTCAGTGTATTTCACGGGTTAGCAAGGAATTTTGGCTTTTGCGCATGCGTACATCCCCGTAACTAAGAATTCTGTGCTTACAGGGTTAGCACAGAAGTTTTCTGCTAGAGCGGTTAGCATAAAATGGCGATCGTAAGCACAGAATTCCATGGTTATCAGAGCCTTGAAATTGGGCCCTGTAGGGACACGTGCTGTCCCTCTTCAAAGTGGTCACAAACTATAGCGCCATCCAGTGTTGGAGCAAAAGCTTAAACCTTCAAGGACTTATCAGGGAGACATACAACCAATCAGATCTATTCCATAATTGTATGCAATTTAAGTGATCATCTCATTAGCCCCACAAGTGTACAGAATATTTTTGCAGCAAATCTACTACAATGGTAACAACATGTGATGCTATAAAAGTGGAAGTGTGCCCAACACACAAATCTTCAAGGGGTTTCCCTCCTCCATGGTAATTCGATTAAATTGGTAACAGCAAAATTTTGAACAGATTTATCTGGAAAATGCAAAAATCTATGGGCTTTGAAGAGCCTTGACTCAAAATTGCAAGGCCGTGATCCCTCAAGGCCAAGGCCAAGGCTTTTGCCCTCAAGCCTCGAGGCCAAGGCCCTAAAATCCAGCCTTAAGGCAGCCTTAAGGCCAAGGCCCAGCATCAAGGCACTACATCACTGGCGCCATCTACAGTTCGTGCCCAGAGTCCATTGGCCAAAACTTTGAAATAAATGTGAGACTTAATTCCTGTTGTGAGAAAATGTTTACTCAGTAAGATCGATGCAAAGACTTTTTAAAACTAATTACATACCACTGATTTGCACAGAGCAAACTTTAGAGAATTGATAAAAAAATTATGTTGAAACCTTGATTATTTGTTATAGGCCTAGTTTAACATGTTACTTTGTTCAAGGGTCTCAAACCGTATGTTGTTTTAGCACATTTTAATATATTTTAATATTTTCACAGTGGAAGAGTTTGTAAATGTGGTTTTGAATGATAAGTTTTTATGTTTGATGTGTGACATAATCATAATTATATATCACTTCCTATATATGATTGTCAATAATTTGAAATGGTTATGGAACTTTTGTAAATGAGTTGAAAAATGAATGTTAGATTTAAGAGTTTAACTAATGAATCTATAACATAAAAACATTTTACAAACTTGAATGATTTAGAATTCTGTGATAATCATTGTGGCAATCTTTTGCTGCAGAGTTTTATGATAAAATTCTATCCAATTCAAAAGAATAAAATTATCAATTTTCCAAAACAAATCCTGTTGGACTTGTTTTATTAAGTTTTATTAATAATTTTGTTCGAATTTTTTCCACTCATCTAGTGTGATATTTTGTAGTGGACTCCGTATTTTTTTGTGATTTATGTATCACTTGTTTAGTAATTTCGTTTGTAAAAAGGAAAGAAAAGGAGTAATGCATGTTATATTATCTTATTTTATGTTGTTTTGAAGTTTGCAATTCGCCTGACAGTCGTATCACTATTCCAGTCTTCAAAAATAGTCAGGTACGTGGAAAACCTTCCATATTTCACCTTTTTTAAAACCTTTCATTAAATTTGAAGCATTGCAATTGAGTGCTGTAAGACCCTCCAATAAAGCATATCGAACGGACTTCGGGACAAAAAGAGTAATAATTGTGTTTAGGCCAATAAAGGAATATTTGAAATATGTGTATTAAATACACCAGATTGATCATGTAAACGATGCATGGGATAATTATTTTGAACTCCCTAAAGGACTTTCATTGAATACTTAAAAAGTTACAAACATGTATAGCATATTTTTGAAAATTGGTTGAACACTGTAAATAAAACGATACTCAAATCTACAAAAGATAAAAGTCTGCACGATTTCAATGAATTTGTTCTGTATTTTTGAGTCGAAATGTGTGTCTTTTGAGCCAACGTTTCAGAAAAAGCTATATATTCTTTTCGAGCAGGTGCACGAATATGTTTACATGTATGTAATACATTCATGGCTATGCAGGTTGTTTGCATAGCTTGTGACGTGTACGTACGTGCGGATATATATACGGAATGCTCTTTGTACATGTACGTTCAAGTATTAGCTCTCTGCACACGGTACATAATGGGCACTCCTGCGGATACGCCCACAAGTACTTAATCTGTACTACGTCCGCATTGTGATTATATAGTTTAGCGGCAGTTGATTTTCGGCATTTCGATTCGATCGTCAAGCAAAGAATCTACAAGCAACATGTCTGGAAGAGGTAAAGGAGGAAAGGGACTCGGAAAGGGAGGCGCCAAGCGTCATCGCAAGGTTTTGCGTGACAACATCCAGGGTATCACCAAGCCCGCAATCCGCCGTCTGGCCCGCCGTGGTGGTGTCAAGCGTATCTCTGGTCTGATCTACGAAGAGACCCGTGGTGTCCTCAAGGTTTTCCTCGAGAACGTCATCCGTGATGCCGTCACCTACTGCGAGCACGCCAAGAGAAAGACCGTCACCGCCATGGATGTGGTCTACGCTCTGAAACGCCAGGGCCGTACCCTGTACGGATTCGGCGGTTAAGCAGTCAACTTCCATCATTCAAACCAACCGGCTCTTTTCAGAGCCACACATTTTCAAAAAAAGAGAAAGAACTTCATGTCTGTATGTGTCGAAGTGTGTTCATTTTTATTCATTTAATTTGAAAGGGTCTGATTTTAAATCGGGATGGGATTATTTAGTTCATTTACATTAGGCAGAGGGCTAGGGGAGGGCCAGGCCCAGGGGAGCCTTACTAGCGCTTGTGGGGTCCTAATCCAGCTTCGAATTGAACATTTCCAATTGATCTCTTTGCTGCACTTAATGGAGCCATAATAGCTCCATGATATAATCTAGGCCTGTAATTTATAAAGGCCTAAGGCATGCATAGCCTTCCAATTTTTTAGCCCTTTTCATTATTAAAGTTAAAGGGAATAAACATCATTTGCTTTTGCTGTAATTTTCAGAAATGGATGGAATTGGGGGGTTGGAAATATATAGCAAATATAGTTACACTGACTTTTTTGAGGTTTTGGGTTCGAAAATGATATAAAAACCAAGAAAAACAATCATTTTCCTGTAGTCTGGTTCCCTGACTCCATTTAAGAAGAAACAGAGCAGTTTACATATATTGGGGAATTGTAAGGTCAGGGAACCAGTCTAGCTGGCTTGTACCCGTTCATACTCAGTGTGTAATCGATTGCAAACAAGTGCGATGGTCAATTGGGGCCAGTAACCCAGTATCTGGAAAAAAGCCAGTTTTTTCCAACGCTGATCGGCCGATCAGCGTTGGAAATTGATACAAAAATACCACTTTTCTTGAAAATGACAGTATACCAGGTGCCATGATTTTACAGGATGCTTTACACTGTCATTCACTAACAGTCCAGCAAGGTATTTCAAAATGATTTGGTAGGCCCTAGTTTTATTTTTTGATGTTTGCAAATGTTGTATTTTCCCTTTAAATAATGCATGCCTAAATTCCCAAGCTCCCCGCCCCGGCCCATTAAAATAAAAGAAATATCAGAATAGAGTTGTGTTCCCACTAATCTTCAAATTCCATTTTGTTTTCTTTCGTTTGAATAAATGTTCATTTTTGTTTTATTCCAACCAAAATTTTTTAAACCCCCCCCCCCTTCTTTCTTTGGAAGTCTGCAACCATATCTGAACAAAAGATATTGGTTTTGTTAACGTTTTGGGGTTTTGAGGCGTGCACTTTGCGAGCAGACTGGTTCCCGGTTCATTAACGATACTACTGATTGTGGGGCGGGAACCAGCATACCCCGCGAGAACGGCCAATAATTTTGAATTTGTAAGAATAGCCGGCCCCATCTTCATGATCGTTGCTAGTGCTACTACCCCGGACATGAATGATGATGGAGCTATATAACTCCATGTCGCTGCTAGTGCTACACTAGTACTAGTAGTAGTAAGTATAACTAAACATGGGCAGATGTTTTCGGTAGATATATCTCAAATGTGAATAACTTTTGTATTGCTAGAAAAAATGTATTGCAATAGGAATCTCTTTTTTAGCACAGGGAATACAACTTTAAACATACAAGGCAAGGGATAGTTAATTATCATAAAAACCAAAACAAACTGGGCTGAGAAGCCCACAAATGAATGCAGATATTGGGATTACATTCACTTTTTTTGTATCTGTAGTCAGGTAGTCAGTGTGTGTTGTCCGTAGGCCTATAAAAATACAGGTAGGCCTAGATCTATAGGTCCTCCTATTTCAAAACCTGCTGCTTCCAACATGTCCAATGTTAAAATAACATGCTTTCCAAAAAAAAATACGATGTGAAAAGTTTATAGTCTTGCCCTGCCTTCTCGTTCTACTTGGCTATTCGGAAACTTATTACAAGTCATGTACTATGGGAGTATCATATTCTGATATCAGTTTCAGGATATGACATGGTTTCATTTTTACAGAAATATCACGCACCGTGGACAAGGTTTAGAAAAATACGGTGTTTGTGTTCAAAATTCCATAACTGGAAAAGTACACGAGTGATTTCAATGATGCTTTCACTAAAAGAAAGTTTATTAATTGGGCTTTCATATCCTAGATTTTGAAAACGCTACATGCAGAAATTCGTATAAAAAATAGGGTGCACCATTTCAGGGTTTCCTTTTTTATACTCGCACTGCGCTTGTCATACTCATGTTGTACACCATGTATACTACACGTACGTGTACGTTGAGCACGTAGGCCTACATGTACAATGTATGTATTTCAGTTCTGAAATAGATCAGCGCGTTATAAATCGCCTTTCTCTAAAATTCAAATAAAATTACCTATACGGTAAAGGGGCAAATTCTCTGTTGTATATGCAGATGTAATTTTGAACAGGTGCATGTTCAATTGCTCATGTAGGCCTATCTGGTTTCCATACTTATTCCCCCCCCCCCCCGGCCCCCCCACGGATCCTAAATATACACGTAATGTACATGTACATGTACATGTGTACATCTTGTACATGTACATGTACATGTATGTTGGGGGGCATGGGGCAAACAAAAAACCACAGAAAAGCTATTGCAGCGTACGCGCTAGGCTAACAAAAGCTCACGTGGCATGCTTGGCCAATGGAACCGCCACGGCATGCACGGCGCGCAAACCGTGTTGCTGAATATTCATTATCAAATACATGCGTGCCAGAATTCGTTTACTCGTCAATATTTCTTCGATTACACCCTATATGAACAATTTTCCCCCAATCATTTCACATCTTTGATTGTAAAACTTGTCAGTGCTTGTATTGTTGTTGTTTTATTGTTACTTGAATGGTAATTCGTCCGAAAACTCAGTTTTTCATTACCAATAACTGTAAGTTGGGATCCTTAGTGGGATCCTTCCGTACTGCGGCGTTTGTGATTGGTTCAATTGTGACCAATGGCAGCAAGGCAGTATCGACCAATCACAGGGCCCGTGCAAAGGGTATAAATAGAGAAGCGGTTTCTTCAAATTTCAATTCCTGTTCTGCAGCAATACAATCAAGATGGCACGTACCAAGCAAACCGCACGCAAATCTACTGGGGGCAAAGCCCCACGAAAGCAGTTGGCCACCAAGGCTGCCCGCAAGAGCGCCCCAGCCACCGGCGGAGTCAAGAAGCCTCATCGCTACAGGCCCGGTACCGTGGCTCTCCGTGAGATCCGTCGCTACCAGAAGAGCACCGAGCTGCTGATCCGCAAGCTGCCCTTCCAGCGTCTGGTCCGTGAGATCGCTCAGGACTTCAAGACCGAGCTGCGTTTCCAGAGCTCTGCCGTCATGGCCCTGCAAGAAGCCAGCGAAGCCTACCTGGTCGGCCTCTTCGAGGACACCAACCTGTGCGCCATCCACGCCAAGCGTGTGACCATCATGCCAAAGGACATCCAGCTGGCCCGTCGCATCCGTGGCGAACGTGCTTAAACAGGGACTTGTCCCCATCAACCAACCGGCTCTTTTCAGAGCCACCACAAAGTCAAAAAAGAGATAGAATTCATGTCTTATAAAATAATATTGTACTACTGTACAATGCAGTTTACGTGAACCAGCCGTCGTGCTTCCATAGTCAAAAATAAACCAGCCCTCCTTGTGTTTTTGTCTCAGTCCCTCGTCCATGTCGTCCCTCAACCATTCATTGCTTCTTTTTTTATCAGCGACTCGTTTTCAGAAATATTTTATAAGGGAAAAAAAAAATACATTTACTGATTAAGCCTACTACTAAACTACTAGTGTACAAAAAGTGATTTGTAACTTGTAAGCCTAGGCCTGACAAAAATAGTTAGGTGTAGGCCTACATGTATTTCTACTCCTCACACTCGGCCTATTTAAAGTTGAAATCCTGCCCATTAAAAACATTGATTGCAAACATTAACAAGGCCAACTATCACAAGATTGGGCAGGAACAATAGGCACACCTCATGATGTGAACAAAATAATTTTCCTATCACTAGCAGTTATGTGATAGCAGCTCCCGTTGGTAGGCCTAGAAGAATACGATTTTTTTTTTTTTTTACAAAAACAATATTTTTCTCAACGTAATACATTGTAACATATTTTTTGTATTTTTAATAATCGATTTTTGTTTCATTTTTATGTACATGTAAATGTATTGTAATTTAACGTTGGTGTTTTTCTTTTAAGTTTTGGATATAGGCCTAGGGCTAAGCCTAGGCTTATTTTTATGTGTAGCCAAAGATATTGGAATGGAAGGCCTTCGGGTCACAGTTTTTGGGTCAACATGAATTCCAGGCAAAATGGCATGTGCCCTGGCGTTTGTAAATTGTGATTTTTGTTGTTTGTTTGGTTAATTTTATTAATGCCGAATAGACACATGTGTAACAATTTAGTGCTGCTGGTTTATTTTCTTGCAAGTATCAAAACATGTGCATGACATGTCTATGTCACGGACCGTAGATCATCAATAGCGCCCTCAACGAAACCGAACATTGACTCCGATCCAGCACTTCAATTCACACCCGAAGTTCGTGCATGTTCGATTTTATTGAGGGCGCTATTGACGATCTATGGTCCGTGACTCGACTTTCTTACTACGATTTGATATTAAACTTGCCATGAAAAGACAGGAAGATACATATACTTTGTACTATCAAACTTACAGGGAAATAATTACAGGTTTACATGTACGTACACGTACGACTGCAATAACTTTCTTTCACTATACATGTATTTTAGCTGCTTTTGTTCTCACGTATTAAATATTAGGGTCATTTAGTAGGAATGTACATTATAATTCCATGCTTTCTGTTTTCGTATTTTTGATAAACCAGTGGTGCTTTCATTAATGTCTTACACTACATACAGCTTGGTGATATTTTTTATGTGAAAACACAATTGTACTTCATTATCTTGAGATGTACATGTCATGGACTTTTTCTTTCTTATCTTGCTCTGCTCAAATTTTGACCGGACCTCGTTATTTTTTATGTAGGCCTATCATCAGTATCACTACATTCCAACGCTACAAATCAGCCAGCAAAGTATCCCCAAAAAAAAAAGTCTAAGAAAAAACAACAGTGCATGTATTAAATAAGATAAGCCTGCCTCCCGAGTCTGGAAGCGTCTATATAAAGCAAATACACCGAAGTGCTCTCCCATTCAGTTGCACACAGTGTTATCTACAATGATTAGGCCTAGGCCTACCTAGAATCTCATTAAATTTATTCACTTTTAAAATGAGACTTGAAAAATTCCACAGACGTTTGTTTGTTCAATCAATTAGGCTATTTCTTCTTAAAATTTGAAATAAAATAAGCTGCCAGACAATGATAATTGTCCGAGTAGGCCCAAGATTTGAGGCTTTGCATGGTGGAGATGAAATGCTGGGAATATTAAATTTCTCAAACCAAATAACTGTTCTGAAAAGATAAGACCAGAGGGATAAAACTCCGTCCGGTTTACTCAGCCTCCGACAGTCTTCCGGCCGATTGCGTGTTTATTTTCATCAAACAAAAAGACACCCCCCCCCCAAGCCGTGCCCAGATAAGTCGGATAACCAAGTTATAATTTATAAATAGGCCCAACTTCCCTAAGCACAAGGTCCTTAGGCCTAGACCTTATTTTTCGGGCCGGTTAAGAATTGGTCTTCCTTCCCGTTAATTGTACTCCCACGTACTAGTAAATTTAACCATGAAATAAAGGAATACACTTCGACTTATTAAATCATTTTTAAATTACACACTAAATTCAACACTACAGACATGATATTTCCAATCTCTTTTTTGAAAATGTGGTGGCTCTGAAAAGAGCCGGTTGGTTTTGAAGACGAAGGTTCAGCGTTTATTTGGCAGCCTTGGCTGACTTCTTGGGCAGCAGAACGGCCTGGATGTTAGGCAGTACACCTCCCTGGGCGATGGTGACACCGCTGAGAAGCTTGTTCAACTCTTCGTCGTTGCGGATGGCCAGCTGCAAGTGACGGGGGTTGATTCTTGTCTTCTTGTTGTCGCGGGCAGCGTTGCCGGCCAACTCGAGGATCTCAGCGGCCAAGTACTCCATGACGGCGGCCAGGTAGACCGGGGCTCCGGCTCCAACACGCTCGGCATAGTTGCCCTTGCGCAGGAAACGGTGAACACGGCCCACGGGGAACTGAAGACCAGCCCTGGCAGATCGGCTCTTGGCCTTAGCGCGTGCCTTTCCTCCCTTTCCACGTCCAGACATTTTCAGCAAATTTCTTTCGGCAAATCAGAAAGCAATATCAAAACAGAGAATGACTCATAAAATGTGTGCTTCGCAACTTTATAGCCACCGAGAGGATTCTGAGGAGGATCCTGTGCAGGATTCTGCAATTGTCCAATGAACATTCGCCATTATCGACCAATCGCAGAGACAGCTGCAACGCGGCTGCCGTAAATTTTAGTGCCGTGTGCAAACAAGAGTGCCATTGACCAATAGCGAAGCACGGCATTTGGCAGGATCGCGAACAGAATCCCTCATTTGCATAGCGGAGGGTATATAGACGTCTGAATTGCAAGTTGCAGTATATTTTCGACTGATTGCTTTATCTCGAAATTTGAGAAGCATGCCTCCTAAGCCAAGCGGAAAGGGACAGAAGAAGGCTGGCAAGGCCAAAGCTGCTCCCAGCACCAACAAGAAGAGGAAGCGCAAGAGAAAAGAGAGCTATGGCATCTACATCTACAAGGTGATGAAGCAGGTGCACCCAGACACCGGCATCTCAAGCAAGGCCATGAGCATCATGAACAGCTTCGTCAATGACATCTTCGAGCGCATCGCTGGGGACGCCTCGCGCCTGGCCCACTACAACAAGAAGTCCACCCTCACTAGCCGTGAGGTGCAGACCGCTGTCCGTCTCCTCCTGCCCGGTGAGCTGGCCAAGCACGCCGTCAGCGAAGGGACCAAGGCCTTCACCAAGTACACCACCTCCAAATAAGAAGTGTACCGAACACCTTCAAATCTCCCGGCTCTTTCAAGAGCCACCAAATATTCAAAAAAAGAGATTAGTTTCATGTCTGTGCAAATGCCTAGGAAATAAAAGTGATAAAAATAAAATTTTAAGGTTTTCGTTTATTAATTAAAAGCTTGACAATCATTGGGCTTTTTTTTTAACAATTAACATGACATCCAAAAATATAGGGAGGGAGTGGGGGGAAAAAAGCAGCGGTACATGTACACAATTGCAATACTGAGGCCCAATTAATTAATACTGAGATGTCGGGGACTGATCTAGTTAGTTTCAGGAAACGCGCGGGGTTGATCATTAGCAGCAAGGGGTTGCAACCCCAAAAGATCAACCACTGGATGTAATGATGTCAAGTTTATGTGCACTTTGTTATAATACAGGGGTGTGAAATCTCAGCTTTATGTTTTGGATTTCAGCTTTTTCCCCTCACTTGCTGTGTACAAAAGTACATGTATAGGAGATTTCCAAAGTTCAGCTTATTTACACCTTTTCCAGCTGTTTTCAGCTATTCTTTATCAGTGGTCACTCACACCCCTGTGTATATTACACTTACAGACTCTTCCCAACCTGGCTAGGCTAGGCTTGTACGTACAGGAAAGTGCAGGTCAAGAAAATGTGATGTCATCATGTCTAAGGGCCGGGCTATTGGGGGGGGGGGCCGGGGGGGGGGGGGGATTGGGTAATTTATTTATATGTGTTTACATTTTCCAAAATTCTTATGGGGGGTGGTATAAGAGAGGCACTGCCAACGGCCTTGAGTGAAGTCCTGTTTCTGTTTCTGTTTCTGTTCCATAAACGTACAAACACCTAGAAGGTTGTCGACATACGTGTGACACACCCCAATACCCCCCCCCCCATGCCCCTTAAAGTATTGAACTGCACTGCAAGTAAAATACACATATGCCGAAGCCTACGGTACCTACAAAATAAACTTTTTATATCCATGCTTTTATTAAAGGGAAAATACAACATTTGCAAACATCAAAAAATAAAACTACCAAATCATTTTGAAATACCTTGCTGGACTGTTAGTGAATGACAGTGTAAAGCATCCTGTAAAATCATGGCACCTGGTATACTGTCATTTTCAAGAAAAGTGCTATTTTTGTATCAATTTCCAACGCTGATCAGCCGATCAGCGTTGGAAAAAACTGGCTTTTTTTCAAATACTGGCCCCAATTGACCATCGCACTTGTTTGCAATCGATTACACACCTATGAACGGGTACAAGCCAGCTAGACTGGTTCCCTGACCTTACAATTCCCCAATGTATGTAAACTGCTCTGTTTCTTCTTATATGGAGTCAGGGAACCAGACTACAGGAAAATGATTGTTTTCTTGGTTTTTATAGCATTTTCGAACCCAAAACCTCAAAAAAGTCAGTGTAACTATATTTGCTATATATTTCCAACCCCCCAATTCCATCCATTTCTGAAAATTACAGCAAAAGCAAATGATGTATATTCCCTTTAAGACTTCAATTTTCAGCAGTTTCCAACTGAACTGTTAAATTACACACTAGCGAGTGTTTCCCCCAATTTTTCACTACGTGTACTTTTTAATCTTTATATGCTGTGTTAACTAGAGGATTTTGCGATCAGTATTTGTTTTATCAATACAGAAATCTCAACCCCCCCCCCCCCCCAAAAAAAAAAGGGGGGAATAGGGGGATATCCTCCCATCCCACTCTTGATTTACATTACATGCCACACAACTTATAAGAAGGAACAATAAATGCCATGTATATTGTTGTGTTTTATTCAGAATAAAGGTGTCCATACAAGGAAGACTTTGTGCATTACAAATTTACACTCAACCAAAAAAGAAAGACCCCCCTTAATACTTGTTTGTCTAACTCAAAAACTACTAGGCACATCTTGCTCAAATTATGACTGATCAGTACAGAAATTCCTTAGCAATCCAGCCATACTCTTTGTTTGGCCAGTGATAATGTGATACAGTGATAATGTGTACACAATTATGCAATTTATGACAAATGGTACCGAAAAAATTGCACTTTTGTATACGTGCAAGGCGAGTGTGAACCACAACTTACACGTAAACAAAAGTGCAACTGTTTTCGGTATCATTTGTCATAAACTGCATAAATTTGTACACAGTATCACTGTTTTGGGCCAAATAAAGAGTATGGCTGGATTGCTAAGGAATTTCTATACTGATTAGTCATTATTTGAGCAAGAGATGCTCATAGTTTTCAGTTAGACAAAAAAGTATTGTAAGGGGGACTTTCTTTTTTGGTTGAGTGTACTTGTTAGTCTATACACAGTGTACTTGTACAGGTTTTTGTGCGTTCTTTCAAAATAATCTAACCACAGAAAAGAGAAAGCCAAGATTATACATGCATGTTGAACTATTAAAATATGTACATCAAGAACGATCCTTTGACTTAAACGCATACTTACATTTCTCAAAATATATTTTAGGTATACAACTCAACCGTTTGGGAACCCAAAACTTTCAAACTCCAGAGTTTTGCTACAATACACAGAAAAATCTACATGAAATCACAATTTGTCGTACATGTAGAATAACCTAAAATTAAATTCCTTTGGTTGTAAACCATTAACTTTTCACATACACACAAAAATTCTGAAAAATTGTTACATCACGTCTCGGAGACTGCAATTATACTGGTTGCATGTCCAGTCTACTTTTCTTCATATTTTACTGCGTTGAATAAATATTACCTCATATACACTGCATTGTATAAAGTTCTACATTATATTGCGTGCACGTGAAGGGCACTTGCATGGATCGTGTGCCTTGCGACTGAGAAGGAAAGCTCAAATTTCAACATCAAAAATCTGTGATTTAATTTATTTCTTGCATAGTGAGTTAAAACCCTTTATCGTTTTGACTTTATATTGGCACGATGTAACAAACAACTGTTGACTGCTGTGATGTGGGATATCGCCCTTCGGATGCATAACACCCCCCCGGCTTCCATTCCATATTCCACATCACAGCAGTCAACATTTCTTAATTGTATCATGAAAAGTGTAAGATATATGGAAACAAATTGGTAAGTCAAGATTTAGAAGGGAAAAAAACATGAAATACTAGTGTTGATTCTGGGCCGTAGTACTATTCAAAACTTGATCCAGATCGTATTTTGAGTTACAGCAAATTCATACTTGGTGTGACTGCGAAAACAAATCTGTGATGTCCCATCAATTATTCACACTGTGAGTTTAGGTCTGCACGTTGCAAAATTCACCTTCCAAAATTCACAAGGCTTGCGCTTGGAATGAGGTATGAACAGCATTCACATGGCTCGAATTTCGAATAGAAATTTCATTTTCGAAAGAAACTCTAAATTTCATTACCAATATATAGTATTGACCCCTTTTCCCCAATAATTTGTCTTGGATATAAGTTTTTATGAGAGGTCAGTTTACACACGTTATCATCAAGAGGTACCAAAAAAAAAATCATATTTAAAGGTAGTATTCAACATTTACAAACATCTAAAAACAAATCTACCAAATTATTTTACTTGACTGTAAGTGAATAATAGTCTCAAGCATCCTGTGAAATCATGGCACCTGGTGTGCTGTCATTTTCAAGACAAGTGAAATTTGTGTACATCCATTTCCAACAATGGTCGGCCCACCACCGTTGGGGAAAAATACATACATTTTTTTTCAAATACTGCCCCTAATTTATTAAATTTAGTTAGTCCACATTTTGTTTGCAATCGGTTGCACATCCTTGAACAGGTGCAAGCCAGCTAGGCAGTGTATTAACATATTTGCTACAAAATACTAAACCCAAATCCACCCATTTCTGAATATTACATCAAAAGCAAATGTTGTATATTAGGCCTACCTTTAAGTTACGTCAGTAATCCTGGAATGGCCATTTCAGTTTTTATCTGACAGCCCGGGCGAAGTTCGCCCTCGGATCTCGGCTCCTAATCTTTGACCATTTTGAAACTTATAGTGTAAAAGTATCCATTGAGAGTACATCTCACAACATCTGTACATGTCAAATCAATTGGACAAATATTTATTTTGTAACCAAGGAGGAACACAGACATCCCTTTAACTTTACCTTGTTTTTGACAAGTAAAAAAAAATGCTAAATTTCAAAGCAATTGGCAAGGGATAGTTAGGATATAAATTCAAACTATGTAATAGTAATATTTCCAAGTAACATTAATTAAAAATTTGAATTCTAATAAAATGGTCTCTGTACACTGTTACCAAAACTACTACCCTAGATACATCTGGGTACATATATCTAATTTAATACACTTTACCATCACCTATTTCTCCCTGCTCTATATGTTAATATGCTTCACATCTGATAAAACAGTACTAGTTTCTGCAAAAACGTTGTGCAAGTTTCACTTTTAGTGAGTTATAATGTCATTAGTGAGGCACTGCCGCTGGAACAAACTTTTGCCAGGGGGTGCTGGAATAAAGAATGGACAAAATTAATGCGAAAGCGGAGCGCAAAACCATTACGTCGTGGCTTAATTTTGGAATATAGATGCTCTGTGGTGCAATCTGAAGCGATTCATGGCCACTTTCATTTGACTTTATTAGCAAAAGTTTTTTGAGATTATAAAGACAATTTATTTCATTATTTTGTTTACAATACACTGTTGTCCTTAAAACGTAAACTGTGCTGAAAAGTGGAGAACGCTGTATTTTTATCTCCATTTTTGGTTCCATTTAATTCTGGAAAAAGAATTGTATCACTATGCATGACATCGCATGTAAATATTATTGTTGCAAGGCTGCTTTCTTGCATTTAGTAAATTCCTTCGTGTCTGTTTTGTTTTATTTTCCGAGCCCTTACGGCGTGGGGCCACAGGGCCAGGGGCCCGCTTTAAGGCCCCAGAAAATGTTGGATGTTCTGGATGCACTGTGATGAAATATACAGAAGTATACTGAAACTTATAAAACCTGAAAGGATGTTTTTTGGTTAAGTTAAAACAAATGGTTCCACTGGAAGCGGATTTCTGTTCATATAAATATTCACATAGTTCCAACTCACCAAACGATGTAGCTCTCGATATATTTGCAGTGTTATTTGTTTGTTACAGGGAATGGCAAATGTAAAAGACTGAAAGACCAAATGCATCTTTATGTTTATGATCGGCAGATGGCAAGTTTGGGGCTGGGCGGGGATTTATCGGTCTACTGACTTTTTATGAGGAAAAACTTGCAGAGGGTAAAACATGAATAGCTTTTTTTATTAAAACGAAACTACACTGGAATTTGCGCAAAGCATGACTAGCTTCAATGAAAGCCAATTCAACTACCATTATGTTGGAGTTGTGTGTGAACCTTGCTATTTGTTAATGCTGTGTACAGAGTGTTAGCAACGTCATGCAACTTTTAAATGTAAAGAAAAACCCTTCAGGGGAAAGGTATGAACATTTGCCCCTATTGAAAGATCGAATGAAAAATATCCTGGCAAGCATAAATCAACTTTGCCACCATTGTCATGGCCGAGGTTATTGCTTTCGGGTCAAAGCTTCCATCATGGCTGAAATATCATAGACATGTCATGATTTTAGATACCTTGAGAGAAATATCGATTCTGCACTGCCTGAAAATTTAGAAAATACCTCCTCTTGATATTTTACAGTTTTTGTGCAAGACGTTTGAAGCGCCGTGCTTAGCCGCGGCAAACTAGAAACGAACAAAACGAAGGAGATATTTGTAGAGCAAGAAAAATGTATAGCGTAGCGGCGCAATTTCATCGTCATAGAACACTACTGGCTGGAACAAATTTTTTTTCGGGAGTAGGGGGTGCTGAAGCATATTCCAGCACCCCAATCCAAAAAGTTGGGGGTGTTGCAGCACCCACAGCACCCCCCCCCCCCCCCCCCCCCCCCCGTTCCCGCGGGCTTGTAGTGAGGTACATGTATGTGCACATCAGTAAGCCTCTGTACTGATGACGTCACACTTTGTTTACATGTGCACTTTCCTATGGAGCCAGTGGGGGCCACGATCCACTCAGCGACATAGGAAAGCACACACGTAAACAAAGTGTGACATCATCAGTACGAGACTTATTCTACTCATTGACATCCGACAAAAATTCAAATTGCAAGGACAAAAAGGCCTTTGTTAAAATGTCCCCACATCCTAACATCGTAACTGCATTCACTAGCTAGTGATCTAGCTTTTTACCCCTTATCAGACAGTTCCGCTTTTTTTTTTTCCAACATTACACTTTTTAATACAGCTCTGAAGTGGTTTTTTTGTAAAGGCCCAGTGTTCAGTGAATCCTGCAAACTATACCCAATCATACGAAAGGCAATGTGTGTGGCACCTCACTCATCACATTTAGTTGGCATGACTGTGAGCTGGATGGGAACTTCAGGTGAAATCAGACAACCGTTTATTCAGTTGAGAAAAGTTTTAGGATAACCGGATTTTAAAATCTCTTATTCCTCCCACCACTATTAACTGATGTCTGTTAATTCTAGTCAGCTAATAACTCGCTAATACAGTTCTACTGATATTTTTTTTGGGTCGATATCTGGAATGCAAGGAGATCTTGCAGTGGACTGAGAGCTAACTGCTAGGCTTGGGCAACTGTGTCAGAACCAACTACAATAAACGATTCCACACTCTGAATCTTCCTGGGTGGAACAGTTATTCACCCGAGCCCAGTGTGTCCTGCCCCAATCATTTATCCCTTCAGGATGTTCTCTGGCTTGGTGTCCTTCATCTTGAGGTAAAACTCCTCCCAGGATCCGTCAAACACCGGCACGTCCTCCTTGCCGGCCAAGAAGGCCCCCATGGCCACGATGCAAGCCGAGATGCCCGACCCGCACGACGTTGTGATGGGCTGGCTCAGGTCCAGACCAGCCTCGGCAAAAGCCTCCTTGAGCGCCTCTGGAGATTTGAACTTGGAGATCCCATCTTCTTCTTGGAGCAGGGTCAGAAAGGGCAGATTGATGGCATTGGGCATGTGACCGGGCTCGATGTCTGTTGGTTTGAAGAGTAAAAGTTAAAAGGACATAATTTAGTGAATATGCAAATTATTTCCGAGTGGAAAATCAGCAGGATCAAAATTCAATCAGATTAAAATTTGATACATAAGAGAAATCCATACATTTTCAGTACTACACTCAGGCCAGCCTTTATATTTCATACTTGATAACGCACTCTCAGCCCGTGTCTGAATCACATGGCTATGGCCGGCAGTAACACACCAGTCTATGGGAAGTGGCTATAGCCACTAGTCAGTGGCTTCCACAGTGTGTAGTGCGAGTGTAGCAATGGGTTTCGGAATTCAGACACAGCCTTACATAGAAAAACAAGTCTAAAAGAATTACAATTCAATGGAGGCCATGACCTCTGTGAAAGTCTAAATGTAAGAGCAGTGCTGCCCTTCCACAAGGCATTTTCTATCAATTTTCCTGTGTCCATTGCATTTGCAGTAAAATGCAACAGAGGCAGAGCTAGAAAATGAACTTAGACTGTAGCTAAGATCCATGATACCTTTTCGAGGTTCCGGCATCTCTCCATTAAATCGCCCCTTGGGTCGAGCATCCGCCACTTTAAACGTCTCCGCCTCCAAGTTTGCCTCGATGTCCGCAAGGCTCTTGTACAGCTCGGGAACGAAAGAAGGCCTGAATTTTACCGGGTCAACCTCGGGAATGACGTCGGTTGTTTCGTGTCCTTCTTTGATCCAGAGAGGAAGACCGCCTTCCATGACGGAGACGTTGTTGTGTCCGAATACACGGAACATCCACCAGACCCGGGGAACCGAAAACACCCCAAACTTGGCGTTGTTCTCGTACAAAACTACCTGGGTATCATTGTCGATGCCCAGTTTTCCAATAAATTCTGCGAATGCATCCGGACTGGGGAGGGTATGGGCTAGGTTAGTAGACGCGTTGCATTTAGCAAGCTCGAAAAACAGGGCCCCGGGAATGTGGCCCTCCTGATACTCTTTCAGGGGATCGCGTTTGAACACGGGAAGATGCCATGATGCATCAATGATGCGGAGATTCTTCGCTTGAGAATTAATCTGCTTGGCAACCCAGCTCACGGAGACCAAAGTGGAAACTTTCTGCATCTTGACACTACAGAGTGTTTATTTTGGCGTAATTGGCTTAGAATGATTTCAAGTAGTTGAATTGCAATGTGAGCAGATTATGCTAACTATTGGACAAAGTTCACTTTCAAGCTAGGACTAGTGTCTAGCATGTCTAGTAATGCATATGTGAGATTAGATAGTAATCCAAACCAAAACCTAGCCATTCATATCATAGGCGCTGGCCCGACCCGTACCACCCAGACCGGCCCTACACCTGTTTTGGTCTCTACCATTATGACTAGGGTTGATTTAACACCATTGGCGTCACATGCACCGGTATTAATATTTGCGTACTTCGTTTTCCTCAATGAGAAATTCGAATATTTCGATTTTTCTTTCTATTACGTGTGTTTCGATATTTCGTGTATCACAAAATCTCTTCTTCTTTTTCTTAACAAATAAAATTGTCCTCCACGTGTACAAATAAAACACCCCCATGGAAAAATTGGTTTCGTCTAGTCAGACCCCTGTTTTTCATTTGCCGTCTTCTGAAACTGGATAGTGAAGTCTAGACACCACACCCAGTCCTCTGCCAAAAAAAAGTTGTCGCCCCAGGCCCATTTCGCGTTGACTGACCAGAGTCCGCGAATTTCTTCGACTAAAATAAGCAAATTTTTCAATATTTTGACTCAAAGAAACTAAAAGGTAAGAGCGTAGTGTTCGGTTATTCTCAGTATTTGTTCCTAAGGAATTTTGTGTGGATTTCGGTGGAGTATTTTGTGACAAATGATCCAGTCCAACAACCAGGAAGTTGCAAATGCAATGACAAGTTGTGGGAAGGCGGGGCGCGCACGGCGGCGCTCTTCAACTTGTTGTAGCGAGCCCCATGTACATGTACGTATGTGCTGCGCCACACCAATCTGCATTTCACTAACTTCCGCATTAAGTTCTGGTCCTCTGTGGATTAAGTACTACAAAGAAAGGACGGGGTATTATTTTGGAAACAAAATGTTGCAACCTGACGCCACTTCCGCGATTGTGTACAAAGTCTATGGAGAGTCAAGAAAATTTTCTGGAAAGATTCCCATATCTCATTATCTGGCCATCACTTTTCACCCTGTGCACAAACTCTATTGTATTGGACTGGTCTGAACATTTCTGAGTGTTTTCTCAGTAAAAATTCAAAATTTGTCACTGCTAATTTTGACTTTTTAGGACATAGGCCTATAGGCTAGTATTATCACTTTCTGATGGCTGATGTGATAGGTCATTATTTTAAGAGAAAAATAAGTGATGGCCAGATATGGGAATCTTTGATTTTTTCTTTCCAATTTTCCAAGTATTTCCTAGTCCGAGTAACTAGGACTCTACGGATCGCTTTTTTAACATTTGAACATGATCGGGCGATAGTAGAGTCCTAGGTATGTGGCCGTATATGGTTACCATTAACGTGTTTTGACCATTTTCACTCGTACCCCCAATCAAAATCGTCAGATTTCACCACAAAAAAGGTCTTCAAACTGCCTTATGCGCCCCTGTAGGCTTCAGTGGGAATCGGAAATACAAATGGTGGTGGTTAGGTTCACATACCTTAGAGAAGAAAAGAGAAATTTCACCTTCAATTCGGAAACCGAGCCTCGCCGCTGCCTGCACATATCGCATACACGGCTATGCGATATGTGCAGGCTGCGCTGTTCAGGAAACAGTCGCCGGTGTACGCGTGCACACACGATATGCTCAACTGTGAATGCAGGCGTGCACTTCGCCGGCGCGTCGTACGTCATCAGTTTGACCTCACAATTTGAATGAATCGTACACAACAACAACATTGAAGATGGCGGTTATCAGCACGACAGCTCGGCGACGCTCGGTTTCCGAATTGAAGGTGACATTTCTCTTTTCTTCTCTAAGGTATGTGAACCTAACCTCCACCATTTGTATTTCCAATTCCCACTGAAGCCTACAATTCCCACTGAAGCCTACAGGGGCGCATAAAGTAGTTACTCGGACTAAGTATTTACCAACAAAATTGGAAATGGTTTTCAGTCCCAGATTCATGTCTTATCATCATTTTTGCAATGAATGACCTTCATTGAGATGATATATGAAGAAAAAGTGGCGTCGGGATGCAATATTATGGCGATCATGAAGTGTAGGGCCCCTGTTAAGTTTCAATCAAATTAGAGTCAAGGGTGTTTTTATTACTCAAAAATGACCTTTTCAACCTAAAGCAGACTTCTCTCAATATAATGACACCTTTTTTGTAATCTTTGAACAGTTTCTTGGGGTAGAAATTACGATTTTCCTACGCGGTTTACGGTTGGTGCCGTGCGATTCAGCGCGCCTTGTGCGTTCACGGTACATCACGTACATCGCGCGGTGATCGTCATCTTTATTTTCGTGTTGCGTTTTGTCGTCGTCATCATCACTTACCCCCAAATTTCCCTCGAAAATTCAAAACCCTGCCCTTTATCTATGACACACCTGCATGTTCTTAATTTAATTTAAAAGTGGATTTTGTTCCCTTAAGGAACTGGGCCCGTAGATACACGATCGCCAATATTCTTTCCTTGTGTAGTTACGAGAAATGTTTCTCTATCTCAAATTCATGGTTTTTGAACATAACTGTCATGTTTATTGTTGAAATACTTTTGCCAGAAATTGACCTTGCCACAAGATGTCAAACAATGAGAAGTTCAACTTTGAGTTGGGGCCAATCACCTGCCATGCTTGGAACAAGGATCGCACCCGTAAGTCCCTGTCCAGTTGTATCCTAAGCTTTAAGATCAAGTTTTCTTAAGTTGGACCCTCCTTCTCTTAGTGGGTCAGGTTCAATCAAGTGATATTGCCCATATCCAAGACAGTGCGTACTGACTGTACAATTGTTTTTCACATTCATTGGATTTTAGCTTTATTTCATGGACAATATAATCTCGGGCTTATTTTTTTTTCATAGAAATTGCCATCTCACCTAACAGCCATGAAGTGCACATCTACGCCAAGAAGGGGTCCAACTATGAGAAGCTCTACACCTTGAGTGAGGTGTGTATGAGGCCAAGTAAACCTCCAAAAAATACTTTTTCGTCTAGGCTTTTTGTGGAAAGAGGTGGCCCCCTTTTTTTTTCCCCAAGATGGCCGATTTTCCAAGATGGCGGATGGATTCTTCCATTTTCTCACCGCTTTTGCTGATACTTTTGTATACAAAAGAGCCTTCACCGTTTCTACCAGAGATTGAACTTCCATATATAACTACATGTTCGCTGGAAACATAAAAAAAATATATATATATTGCAAATGTATGATTTTAAAAAAAAAAGGACCAAAAGAGGTGGGCGTGGGCGGGAAAAAGGAACTTGGCGAGAAACTGTTTGATTTTTTGGGGTTTTTTTTTTTACTTGGCCTTTTTAAAATACGTGTAGATATTTACTATTAGCAAATCTGAATCCTCTTTCCATTTGACAAGTCTAATTATGTACTGTGTGCCCATGTTAAGATGCGCAGGCCTCGCAAAATTTTGTAAAATGTAGTTGCCCTTCGGGCAGGGGTGCTTAAAATCTGGTTGCCCGAATTTCATTTTCAGTTGCCCAATAAAGAACTTTTAATATTGCCCCAAACATCAGGCCAAAGCCTAATAATGTACATGGCTGCTTTACCTGAAGTGGCTCAGGGCTGGCAAAATTGGCTGTCCGACGCTCCGGGACAACCAAAATATTTTGTACTCAACTGCTGCGCTATCGCAGTTTTGCAAGCATGCGTGGCCGGCAGTGGCCGACCGTGGCTGCATGCTAGGTACGGTACCCGCGCTCTGCGCCGCGCTGGTACATGGTGTACAGCGGTCCGGTCATAATATTATTGGAAACACACGTACACATAGGATTGCATTTGCTGCCTACACACATTACATATGCGATACCTTACTGCATGATCTAGCCGGATTGTACGTACAGATTGAGATTTACCGCTGTTCTGTTTTGGCTGGTACCCGTTATTGGTTTATGCGCATATGCGTACATGGCGTAGATTACCAACATCAAATGGCGATAGCACAGCAGCTTAGTCAAAATGTTGATATCATGATTATTGTTCGATGCTGTGCACATGTATGGGATTCTGGAACATTCGAAAATCCCATGGACTAATATAAAGTGTACAAATGTGTGAGTATTGGTGGAAAAAAGTCCTTGCCCATCGGGCTGGCAACCTGGAACTTTTGGTTGTCCGACAAAATATTTTGCTTGTCCCGAGACGTCGGGCAGGCGATTTCATGAGCCCTGATGCGTTCCAATGTGTACACACTACAGGTTTGTGAATTCTGGTGAAAGTTGGGCCTGTGTACTCTATCCATACGCAAGTGAACCAGTGTGAATGGTGTGTCCAGGGCCAAGGTTCACAAGTCATTTGGGTGTAGCCTTAATATCAACTTGAACTAATGGTTTGCTGAAGTTTCAAACACAGACTCAAGCGTAATCAAGAGCTGAATGAGATTTGATTCCGAATTGATTTACTCTCTTTCATTGCAGCACTCCCAACGTGTGACAAGCATCGACTGGGCCGCAAACAGCAACCGCATAGTTACCTGCGGCACGGTGAGATGTCACATTGGTTTGATGTTTTAGAACAAGACAGCTGTGTCAGTAAATACTTTAACGTGAAAACAAAACTTGAAAATTTATCTGGACTGTTAAGTAGCTTGCAACAGAAAGGCAAAATTAGACACAAATACTGTTTGGTCAAAATTGATGTAGGCCAATCAATTTTGAGCTGGTACGTACACTTAGAATGTGCTTACAGTACAAAGTTTGTTTTGGCAAACATTGTTCATGGTTGGTAAATGTCCGATGTCCAAATATAATTTTCTCTGGGCATGAGAGTCGTGTGCAGTTTGAACCTTTACAGTCGCAGTCTTTAACCCTCCTTTTGTTTGATCAGTCACAGACAGTCAAAAAAAAAATCAATCCTGTTCCCTGCAATGCCTTTTACACAGGCTAGTCACCAACAGTCAGATCATGTTTCATGTAGGCACTGTGACAGTCACATTCCATCAACAGACAAAAGCAGGTGACTGGTAGGCACAGCTCGCTTATTAATCTCCTACAGTCAAAGCACAGCTATATCAGGTTTCATAACAATCACAGCCAGTCAATCCTGCTTTATGAAGGCAGGGAACACTCAACTGTTAAACACAGTCACTTGATCTATTTTGGCTGCTGGGCTGGCTTTGTTGAAATTGCCAGCCAGAGAGGGAGGGGTAATGAATGGTATGTTTTCAGATATTTCAAATATCTGAAAAATCTCTAAAAGATCAACTGATTTGTTATTACTCTCTGCTTGTTTCTTAAGACAAAGAATGAGTGTTTCACAGTAGGACTCCTGTGGTTCAAGAGTCATGGCATCATCTGATGTTGTAAAGTGCTTCTGGGCAATCCACGGTTACTCACGTTACATTTTTTATGTACTTTTGAGTTTCCTTGGGCTGTAATTACCGTACTGAAAAGGTTTAATAACTGTTATCCCCATGGTGGATGGAGTAGACCTAGACCTACCTATAAAGCACCAAAGATGACATCCAGAAAAATGTGTTATGTGTGTTAAACAAGACGCACAAAATTGGTTACTCACGTTACGAAAATGTAACGTGAGTAACCGTGGAATTGCCCTTCTGTATATTTTGCTTGAGTTCCTCCATCACCAATTACATGCATGTACGACCAAGTGACATGGGTGTAAGAATTGGAGGGTACAGCAACGGACGTCTAGCTCTTATTTTAATAGAGCTGCCTCTGATCTGAGGGGGGCATTGTGAAGTTGGAGTCCTACATGTTCTGCCAGAAAAATGCCTGGACCAATTTCATGGCCAAGACCTCCAAATTTCAACTTTGATTTGAGAAAAAATCCTGTATTACTTTGGTTTCACATGAATTCATGTCTAACCCTAATTCCCTAGGCCTTTTTGCTAGGATGTAGTATCAATCCTGCAAATCCTCCAATTGGCCTCATGGGAAAATAGCATAAAGCCTCTATTCCTGCAAATTCCTCCATTATTTCTTGAATATGGTCTATAGAGGGGTGACCATTGCCTGAATCCTGCAAAATCATGCGGCAGTGACTGTCAATATGTTGAGTCTTGGCCAGTGTCATCCTGGAGCAGTGCGGAGGATTTCAAACATAATCCAGGCCAATATTTATGCATGGCTGAGCAAAAAGAATACAAGGTCCGGCCCAAGACATTGACAAAGTGCTTCCTACGAAATCAGTAACGCACTTTTGCCATGTAACCTCAATCCTCCAAATGCCTCCACTTTTTAGGGTTTTAACGAACAAACAGAATTATGCAAATTACTTTCTGTTCTTGTTTAACTGACAGGATCGTAATGCCTATGTGTGGACACTCAACGGCAGTGGTGGATGGAAACCGACCCTCGTGATCCTGCGTATCAACCGCGCTGCCACCTGCGTTAAGTGGTCACCTCTGGGTAAGTTTTCCCACTCACATTTTGCTAGTTATATTGGAGCTGACTATCGAATATTCGATTATCGGGACCGAATACCAAACAGCATTTTTTTCGACTCGGATATTCAGTGTTAGTGGTCTCGAGGAGATGATAAAAAAAGGTCTCTGTTGTTATTTTAATCGTATAAGTTGAATGGTTGTATTAGAGAGGTTTCGCATGCAAACGGATACGTTAAGAGCGGCGGATACGTCATCAGTTATGACGTCATACGCCACTCGCTATCTGCTAAACGTGCAGACGACACGCATATCTCGCTCGCTACACGTAAGTAAAAAACGGATAGCTAAACGTAAGTGTAAGCATATCCGTTCGCTTGCGAAACCTCCCTATTGTTTTTCAAATGCCACACTTTTGTCAAAGCTACTTTCGTGTATGATTTAAGAGCTTCCATCAGGAGTACAGGGATGTAAGTCATTCTGCAATTGCCTGATTTCAGGCATTTTTTTAATTGTAAATAACATATTGGCATGATACATGTGCACCATATGTCTCGAATTCCAGGCAAAAATGTCAGAGTCCACTTACATCCCTGGAAATATTATCTCAAATTTCTTCAGAAAATCCATCAACCTTTATATTAATTTGACAAGGTCTTTGTCAATTTTCGACCAGCACATGGATGCAAATCCCAATCGGCTGCCAGTTTAAGCTTGTGCATGCAAAAACTTGATCAGTGCATGTTGAATATTCGAGTAATCGATCAAGTTTAAGTTGGAATAATCGAATACGAAATTTATTCGAAAATACACAGTTATATTAACCTTTCAGTTCTAAGATTGGGAGATCTTAGCTACTAGTAGAAAGAGATTCTCGTATCATCAGCATATATCACTAAATTAACAGGCATGTGAATACCTGTTAATGGTCATTTAGGGAGACATTTTGTAATCATTAATTATACCTCAGGGAGACACTGGACATGAGCATGGGCGTCGCCAGGATTTTTTCTAGAGGGGGGCAAAACATATTTTTCCCAAAAAATGCATGTATTTCTCAATATATTCTCGATTTATCAGTTTTAGAGGGGGGCAGAGACATTCCCCCCCCCCCCCCCCCCCACCCGTCAAAATTTTTTTTTTGCTTTTCCAGGGGGGCAAGTGCCCCCCCCCCCCCTTGCCCTCCACTCGACGCCCATAGACATTAGGGAGACATTTCAATGTCTCCTTAATGTCACAACTCCTATTTAGAGGAATAATGTTATTGTCGCAAATAGGTTAGATCAAGTGCTTGTGGTCCAAAACATAAATGTACTGAAATTTGTGGGGGTAGGATAAGGTAAAATTGGGGTTAGATGACATTAAAGATGGAAACATTTTGTGCACAAGACTATGGGAATGTCTATCAAATACCCATTTCCCCTAATCAGAGTATATTTTATAAATTCCCTACTTCTATGACATTTTTTGTTGCATTGCTTGACAGAGAACAAGTTTGCAGTTGGCAGTGGAGCTCGTCTGATTTCTGTTTGCTACTTTGAGCAGGAAAATGACTGGTAAGTAGAATTCAAAATAAATTATCATAGTAAACCAATCTTCTCCAAAAATACTGTCTTGGACCAGGTTAGTTTGCTTGAAGTGACTTGGGGTTTTTTTTGGTCTGAATTGTGTTGATACAGGTGGGTGAGTAAGCACATCAAGAAGCCGATCCGTTCCACCGTGACCAGCCTGGACTGGCATCCCAATAACTACCTACTGGCTGCTGGATCTGCTGACTTCAAAGCAAGGTAAACACATGTGTATACACATCTATGTGTTGATATGATGCCTGTTCATAAGAGCCAAAAAAAGACACATGGTTGTGCACATCAAAGAGCAAGTTTAAGCAAGGACTGTGGTTAACCATATTCAATTTTGAAATTAATAATTAATAATTTCACAGGGAGTTTAGTCCCCTTACTATCTTTCAACCAAGTATGTTTTTCAACAATAATTACGTCAGTTACTTTTTGGATAGCTGAAAATGAGGGACTGTAGCTTTAAATTGAAAAAATGCTGTTCGGTTGATGATTGGATGTTCCAATATTCAGTATATTCGGCACAGCTCTAGTGTCGAGACCAATCATTAGTTGAGGATTGCGTACGATGAGTGCTTCTTGTCTTACTCTCCCCAGGGTATTTTCAGCTTACATCAAGGAGATTGAAGACAAGCCTGAAGCCAACTCCTGGGGCAAGAAGATGCCGTTTGGCAACTGCATGCAAGAGTTGAGTGCCGGAGGTGAGAGTTAAAGTTAATTCACCATAGAGCAGTCAAATTTTTGCATTGATCGGAGATGATCAATTTTTGCATTTATCGGAGATGATTCATAGGGAGTCAGGTTGGCGTAGTGGTACTTTCCTCGCCTTCCACCGCTGTGACCTGGGTTCGAATCCCGCCTGGGCCAATATGTGGATTGGGTTTTCAGTACCTGCCTGATTCCGTGGGTTTTCCCCAGAATATTCTTCTGGGTTTTCCTCCCACCGCTAAAACTGTAACTTCTTCTCATTGTCTTCTCTCCACAGGTTTCTTCTGGCTTGCGAGCTACAGTGCCTAGGTCGCTTTTGGGGAATCCTTGGTTTCATTACCAGAAATGATTAATAATAATAATAAACTTTTCGGAATTTTATTCAGAATTCCGACCTTTTTTACGTTTTCTTCCGAAAGTCTGATTTCTCCAAGAGTTTTTAAAGTTAAATTTCAACGATTTAGATGAAAACGTCATGTCTGTGTTGTGAGCGAAATTGTTATCTCCTGAACCATTCGTCAGTACAGTCGACTCCAGTTACTCCCCTTACTTCAGGAATCTTTGGACCTACTAAATTATCTCCTATTAGCCGCAACCTTGTCTTGATGTGGAGAGCCATTTTTCCCGCTCACACTGTTCAACCAATCATGGATCGTAGGTGTTTTTGGGAAAAGTATACCGTATTAAAGTAAGATGTATAATGAATGAAATACATACAATATGTAGTAATAAACATTGCAATGTAATAAGGCCAAAAAAATAGTTCTGCTTTCAATTACATGGCAATTGAAAATAGGGTAGGTAGGTAGGGAATTTTGTTTTTTTTGGGGGGGAATTTTTGTGCACAATCATATGGAGGTGTCTGCGTGTAGGATTCAAGGGTAAAAGGTAGTAATTGATGGTTTTCGGGTTTTTTTCCTCATTCCCCCCCCCCCCAAAAAAAACGAAATTAGCGTAGGGGCTGTCAAAATAGGGTAGATAGGGTACCGGAAGCAGAACTAGTTTTTATTTTCCTAAAGTTATGTTTTTAAAGAAGATAATAAAACAGACTGACAACACAACACACTGACAACACAAGCCACTGACAACACACGCCTGGTCATACAGAATTTTGAACCACTTTTTCCCCCAGTTTTCAAGCAAGCACATTCGACTCACACTCCACTTTTTTTATGCCCCGCGGCGAAGCCGAAGGGGCATACTGTTTCCGCCTTGTCCTTCCGTGGGTGGGTGTGTGGGTGGGTGTGTGGGGGTGTGTGTGGGTGGGTGTGTGGGTGTGTGTGTCCGGACAAATCTTGTCAGCACGATAACTTGAGAAATACTTAACATATGAACTTCAAATTTGGTCTGTGTATTGTTCTTGGTAATCCTAAGAGGCCTATTGCATTTGGGGCCGAAAGGTCAAGGGTCAAGGTCACAGTGGCTGAAACAATAGAAATTTTGTCAGCGCGATAACTTGAGAAATACTTTACATATGAACTTCAAATTTGGTTTGTGGATTGTCCTTGGCAATCCTAAGAAGCCTTTTGTATTTGGGGCCGAAAGGTCAAGGGTCAAGGTCACAGTGGCTAAAACAAAAGAATTTTTGTCAGCGTGATAACTTGAGATAAACTTTACATATGAACTTCAAATTTGGTTTGTGGATTGTCCTTGGCAATCCTAAGAAGCCTATTGCATTTGGGGCCGAAAGGTCAAGGGTCAAGGTCACAGTGGCTAAAACAAAAGAAATTTTGTCAGCGCGATAACTTGAGAAATACTTTACATATGAACTTCAAATTTGGTTTGTGTATTGTTCTTGGTAATCCTAAGAAGCCTATTGCATTTGGGGCCGAAAGGTCAAGGGTCAAGGTCACAGTGGCTGAAACAATAGAAATTTTGTCAGCGCGATAACTTGAGAAATACTTTACATATTAACTTCAAATTTGGTTTGTGGATTGTCCTTGGTAATCCTAAGAAGCCTTTTGCATTTGGGGCCAAAAGGTCAAGGGTCAAGGTCACAGTGGCTAAAACAATAGAAATCTTGTATTTATTCTGAGATCATAGGGATTAGGGATTAATTCATATAAAACCTACAGAAGACACTAATGCTGTCAATTAATGAACGTTCCATGTGACCAAGGTACATGTAAGTTGATGTTAAAAGAGTGGTGTTATGTCATGGGAACAGTCACGGTTGCGGGGCATTTGTGTTTGTAAACACACCTGACTTGTTTTTTTCAAAGGTTATGGTGGTTGGGTGCACAGTGTATCCTTCAACGCCGACGGTACCCGCCTGGCTTGGGTCGGCCACGACAGCACCGTGTCTGTGGTCAATTCCATGGCTGACTGCCGCACCGGCGTGCTGAGGAGTGGTAATCTGCCGTTCTTGACCTGCGAGTGGGCGGGGCATCACTCCCTCGTTGTTGCTGTAAGCAGTCGCCCATTTTAAAATCTGTTACGGCTTTTTGTTTAGGCAACTCATCAAATTGTGTCCCACCTCGATACTATTTTATAAGATTATTGGTTTCAACAGTTTTTATTTTCAAAAATGATGCTGATCATAAGAATATGAGCAAGAAACTTCTGCCATGGTTACCCTCCTCTGGTTTTTTTGTTTTTCTTTCTACCATTTTAGGAACAGACAAGGATCTTGTAAGGTGCAGGTTCAGAGAATTGGAATATTTTCCAACTTTTGTAGAGATTTGTTGAAGTTTCAAAATGTAACAGACTATCCTGTCTTCCCCAAAAAGTTCAACTTCCAATAAACACAATTTTCAAAGAAATGTAAAGGATTTCCATTTTTTAACAGCTGCATCACAACTTGCCGACGTGTTACAAAAAAAATCCCTGCTTTTTACACATGCACATTCGCGCAGTAGATTAACGGTTCGGTTAGTTTCGGTTTTCGACCTGAAACCGACTTTGGGTTGGGTCGGGTAAGTTTATCCTTCATTTCAGACGGGTCGGTCGATTTCGGTTTTTCACAAGAAGGCTTAACCGACCTGACCCGATCCGAAATTAGCAAACGCAAAACCAAACCGACCCGTCTGAAATGATGGGAAAACTTACCCAACCCGACCCGAAGTCGGTTTCGGGTCGGGTCGGTTTCATGTCGGGTCGGTTTCAGGTCGAGTTTGTACAACATGAGTCTGGAGTATTGATTGGTATAAACATGCAGTTTTTTGTGTGTTAAATGTGTGTGTAACTGAATGAATGTTTTGTTTAATAGCAGTGTTGTAGTCCGTAACATGTTATCACAAGTCTATCACAAGTACAGTCGAATCTCGTTAGTACAAACTCTGTTAATACAAAATTCTGGTTATAACAAACATAAAGCCTTAGTCCCGACTGTGCATTTATGTGCACAATGAATGGGATGGATGTTCCTCTTAAAACAAAATTTTGATATAACAAACAATTTGGCTAGGTCCGAACGAGTTTGTATTAACGAGACTCGACTGTAATCACAAGTTATCCAGTCCTACGTCAAGTAACAAGCTATTCTAATTATTTTGTTTTGATTCATCCTCTGTTACTTGTGACTGGAGTTGTAAGGGACTTGTGACGGACTTCTGAGGGACTCGACTGCAGCACTGTTTCTTCAGATAATGTAAACCAATAACCCACGCCTAATTTCTTTCCCAAACAGGGCCATGACTGTGAGTTGATCCTGTTCAACGTTGATGACTCGGACAAGGTTACCTTCGTGGGCAGGCTGGGAGTGGTGAAGAAGAAGGAATCTGGTAACCTCAGGTAAAGTACCATGTCCCGGACCTTTCCGAGACCTTTCCAGACCCCTCTCACTTTTATCAGTTATTTAAATTTTAGAAACAACATCATTCAAATAGCTGTGCTACTTGACTCAGATCTGACTGTCCATTATATAAGAATTTGTGTGAGGTCTTGGGAAATGTCTCGACTACAACACTGGCATGCATTCTGTTTCCTATGGATGGAATGTGGAATGTTGTGTAAAATGCAAACCCCTGAGTTTTTATCCTTTTTATGTTCAAAATGAAAAGGAGAAACTAGGAATAAGTGCTTTTAAGAAATATATGATTTTGATGTTCTGAAAATCTTATCCAAAGCCCAAAACTATTAGGATCGCTTTGTGTCACCTCCATGTTGCATTGGTGTATTTGGTTGTTGTTGTTTTTTTCAAAATGTGACATCATATCATACTGGTAAGATGATGGAAAGAGGTTTGTAATTTGAATTTTCCACTTTTGAATACAAAAATCACATTCAAGTTTTCAAATTGCCGAAGGAAAAGAAACACAAACGTTTTCTTTATGACAATGAATATCAGTTTGTCAGCCACCCTGAGGTTACAGTGTATGTCTATGAAAGACTTCTCTTTCCGTAGCAGATTTGTCATGTTATATTTTACTTTTTTTTCCCCAGTGCCATGGCCAAGTTTCAGCAACTGGACAAGAAGGCAACCACAGACCAAGATACAGCCAGGAGCTCTGTCCACCAGAACTCCATCACGTAAGTTTTGGCTATCAATAAGAAGTCCTACCTTTTTTGTTTAAGTTTAAGTTTAACCCCAAATCTACTGCTAGTGGCCTCAACTACTAGACAGGACAGATTTGAATCACGCATTATATCTAAGCTTTGCAGTCTGTACCAATCAACCTTTGTTGCAATATGGCACGGCAAACTTGTAGTGTTAAAAGTTACTCAACTCAACTGTACTTCTACTAGGGAATCTTAACTTTTAAAAAAAACTTCCATTATCCTCAAGTAAAACCCCGTAGTTAAACCATTGTTATGAACTGGCTTGTGTACAAGGTGTAAATAAGCGATTAGCGAGAGACCTATACCCTTTGAGATTTAAATTTGAAAAACATCTGGTACACTGACTGGCTCAGAATGCTTGGCACATTTTAACTGAATTCTCCAGACCAAAGACACTGTTGCTAATCACATGATTTGGGGCAAGCTCTTGCATAGTTACGTGAGAGACGCTCAACACTGATACAGTAAACTCCGGCTATTAAAACCATAATCGTACAACTCGTCAAATCGCTCAAGTTGGCCGTCTGACTAAAGTCCTGATTGTCCGTAATGCATTTCCATTGAAATTTTTTATTTCTAAGTCGGCTTTTATAAGTCGCCATTTCGCTCAAGTCGTCGTGTTACTCTTGGTCCCCTTTCCATAAAAAGCATTACAAAATCCTTTGTGTTAGTCGGCATTCAACAAATCACGCATTGGCATCAACTTCCTGTACTGCGGTTGGCAAAGTGTCGAGTGAAAAGTGGTTTCGCACGGCCCGTGATCGCTGCATGCATCGGTGTTGAAAAAGGGTGTCCTACTGCATACATCGCATATGCACCGTGAGCATATCAATACCAGTACCCCCTCTAGGCTGTACGCATGCGCTCTGTCCATTTTGGGGGCGTCTTATTGAATGATTACTGCTGCAGTCAATGCGTGCGTGGTATATACCAGACCACGCACGCATTTAATTCGTTACTGTGCACGTACATATGTATCATGGTCTCCACTATCAATACCCCAAACGTGATGATACAATTTGAGGATTAATTTGCTGGATTCAACTCAAGCATTAAGGAGATAATCCAGGGTAAATCGAAGCCAATTAGTGCAATGAATCATGTGTGCAAAAGACCATTCATGTAAGTCGGCAAAATGACGATTTACAGCAGAAATCGGCATTCACGTAAGTCCGTCACAAATTCTCGGGTCCCGAGAGTGCCGGTTTAGTCAGAAGATACTGTACATTGTTCACAATGGGTGAGAATGGCACAAAGACCCCAGACCATGCCGGAGCTGGTGGTGGTTGCTAGCATAAGGCTTGCCCCGAATCATTTGATATAATTAGTAATAGTCTCTTTGGTCGGGAGAATGCAAAGTTAAAACGTGCAAAGCATTGGATTCAGTCAGCATTCCAGATTTTAGTCAAATTTAACTCGCAAATGTCTTATTCAACTAAATATCAACTCGTACAATAATGCAAGTACATTTTTTTTTGAAAACTTTTTCATTACATTGACAGTCAAATCTCCATCCACACTGGTGGCAAAGAGAACATCTCCAAGCTGACTTCTACTGGCGTGGATGGTCAGGTGGTCATCTGGAACTACAAATCCCTGGAGTCCGCTGTGGCTGGCATGCGTGTGTAGAAATATCACACCCCGAACCAGGCATTGGAGTACATGTATACCCTGATGGGGATATACCCAGAGTGGAATGTACCCTGATGGGGATATACCCTGATGGTGTTACACCCTGATGAGGATATTCCCTGCAAGGGTCATACCCAGATGGGAATATCCCCTGATGAGGATATACCCTGAAGTAGATTAGTAGATCAACAATACATATAGCGCTAAGAAGATATACAATTAATGGAAAATATTAGACCTATCCCAGTTAAAAATTATACCACATTTACATGATAATTCTTAGAAGAGTGTAAAGATGTACATGTAAAGATATACATGTAACTCATTATAGAGCATGTCGAGTTAAAATGGGGGGATTTGAAAGTTTGATTTTTAATCTTAATAAGTTATTGTTTTCTTTCGAGGGAATATTTCCAGAGAACATAAAGTTATTTAAAAGTATTTTGTTATTTTGGTTTTCTTTTTAGAATTGGTGGTTTTTATATACATTCCATATTTCACTTTGAAATGCACAAACACACAATTGGTTTAAGTTGTGATGATGCTGTAGGAAAACTTTGAACGAGACTTGATTTTTCATTTTTAAAAGAAGGTAAAGGTTGAAGTGTGAGGACTGTACACATTAAAAAAAATTATGGCCTTTAATTTGTCACTTTGAAGGAGAAATCTTCACTTAAATAATAGTCCCATTTTGGTGCAGGAAAATTTGTAATAAATGATTTCAGGTTGGCTGTGCAACATGTCGAGGTTCCTACCCGTTTTTAATTGTCGACTTGATTTGATCTTTGTGGTCGATGTTCTCCAAATAACCTATATTTCTAGTTTTAGTTGTGTCATCAAGTTCCTGCAGTGTTGTAGTCGAGTACTTTTTTCCCCGAGTACTGCCAAGTACTTAGGTTACCGAGTACGAGTACTTGTACTTCTAAGTACAAGTACGATTACTTCTATTTCCGAATACGGCCATACGGCTAATAGTTCATTGTGCGGAATTGGCCCAGGCCCAGTCAGACCGATATACAGACCCACTCACGGCTAGCTGTTAAATGCGTTTGTCCGAACGCGCACAGAGGAAAATCAGGAAACATCGATTTCTCCGCGAGCCAATCAACCATTTCAAACGGAAATTATCGATAAAATAAGGCTGTGGTATTGAGTCGAGCTATAACATTTTTTCGAGTACTGCTATCACTTTGATAATCGAGTACAATTTCGACATGTCGAGTACGAGTACTCGAAAAAAAAAGTACTCGAGGAGTACGAGTACCGAGCCCAAGTTCTTCACCACCCTTAAGGCTTCCCGAATCCATTAAAAGCCAGCCCTTGCCTATGTTCTTTTAGTGGATATTGCCTCGAAGAGCCCCATGCCCGTTGCAGATCAGCGTTTCAGAGTCCCGTTTGAAACTTAAGACTGTAGGCGGAGCACAAAACAACAATTTGGAACATGAGTCTAGCATTAAGGAAGTGATCACAAATGAGTTTATTAGTGCACACATTTTTTTCACAGCAAACATACCTTCATAGTGTAACAAAAAAATAACCAAATATATCAAGACAATTTATGCATTACAATAGCATTACTGTTTCCTAGTTTGGATCTTACAATTTTGGTGAAGTATTCTAAACAATATTATCCACTTGATTTTATCAAATCTTAAGTTGCTAAAAAGTATAAAACACTAAAAAGATAATCCTCAAAGAATGTGAATCATTTAATACTAAACACTGCACACATGAGATGTACAACTGTACACTTACATTTTGGTGTTGGCCCTTGTTTTTGACAACACTCCTGTTTCAAATACTCTGGTAAAACTTAAGATAATCCTGAAATTACCTTGGAACTTTGTAATTTGCCATTCAAGTATCATTAAGAATGACTTAAAACAGATTTTTAAAATTGGTCATGAATAGGTATTTTGCTTTTCATAATCACTCTTGGAAGAACGACTGCACTAAGTAGTGAAATTTACAATATGACCTATACAGCGCGAGTAAAAAATTTGAAGTCTAGGATACGATAGCCCAATCAATGAGCTTCCTTTTAGTACAAGAATCATTCAAATCACTCACGTACTTTTCAAGTTACAGAATTTTGAACACAAACACTTTTAAAGTTCAGTCCACGGATCACAAAAAAAGTAAGTGTTCTTTCAGCGAAACGAAAACAATTCTCATAGGGATGCATGTGAATCGTTTGTGTTCAAAATTCCGTAACTTGAAAAGTACACAAGTGATTTGAATTATTCTTATACTAAAACAAAGGTTAATGACTAGGCTTTCATATCCTGGATTTTGAAAGTGCTACAGGCAAAACTTCATCCAAAAATTGGTCCTGCAATTTGGGTTTCGTTTTTTTTTTACGCGCCCTATATGTATATGGTCCCACAATACTTGCATGAAGCTAACATTACTTTTATTGAGAGAAAAAGGTGTACATTCAATGCACATTTTAGGAATGGGGAGTCAACATTATCCCTTCCCTTGACACCCGAAAGCAATGTTCTCTGTCAAAATTAAAACTAAAGGATCTAAATTTACATTATAAAAATATAAATATATAATACAATGTATATATGTTTAAAGAAATACTAGTACAAAACTTTCTGTTAGGTTGGGAAAGAAATACAAAATGCACAAATCGGAATGCACACAACTGTACAAGAAAAATGGCAAAAATACTAATGAAACTGTGTAACTGAATGGAAAACTGGTCTTGAATCAGTAAAATATTTGGAGATGCCTATACAGGAATTGCATAATTAGATAGGAACTTTAAACATTTTCACACACATTAGGTCTGTTTCGATGACTGGGTCAACTAAGTCCAGCTACATGATACATCAACATGAAAAGCGAAGTTAAATACTGAATGACGTGAATTGATTTTTTAGAAACTAAAAAAAAGGCACTGAGTTTAAAGGGAATATACAACATTTGCAAACATCGAAAAATGAAACTACCAAGTTTTTACGAAATACCTTACTAGGATGTTGGTAAATGATAGTCTCAAGCATTTTGTAAAATTATGGCACCTGGTGTGAAGTAATTTTTAAGAAAATAGTATTTTTGTATACATTTCCAACGGTGGTCGGCCAACCAGCATTGGAAAAACCTAACTATTTTTCAACTACTGCTTCAAATTAACCATTTTTTCAGTCCAAATTTTGTTTGCTATTGGTTACATGTTTCATGACCGGGTGCAGGCCAGCTAGACTGGTTCCCTTACCTTACATTTTTCTGGCATCTATAAATTGATCCATTTCATCTTTAGTGGAGTCAGGGAACCAGACTACTTGAACACTTTTGTTTTTCTTGGTTTTTCCAGCATTTTTGGAACACAAAACTTCAAACATGTCGGTGTAACAATATTTGATATATTATACTAACCCCTCAAATAGTTCATATCTGAAAATTACAGGAAAAACCAATGATGTACATATGTATTCCCTTTAACGTGTCTAAAAATTAAAAATACAACACATGATGATAAAAATGACATTTATAAATGACTCAACAATGACTTCATTTTATGAAGAATACAGCAAAATGTAGACACCCAAGAACAGCTACCAAATACAAATACATAGACTGTTCTGGATTTGGCTATGGGCTCCGTGCACAAGTACCCCCGCAACGGTAAGCAAGGGAGAGTCAGGGGAGACCACTTGGAGTGACTTTTGAACACGTTGCCGACGACGCTCACACGAAGACGCTCACAAGAAGACGCTATGGTTTTGCACATTCACCATAATAACAGTCATGCGTACCTTGCGCTATACATGTGCGAACCAGTGCGCTCACGCAGAGTGTCCTGTCCACGAGCTCTGGAAAGTGGTAAATAAGCACACTCTCTTGTTGGCGAACGGAGCCAATAAGCCGCACCACTTCACACGTTTGCAACAGTATGTGCATCTCCCAACGCCCAATCACACTGCATGTTCTAGCCGTGGGCAAGTGCATGCGTGTCAGACACTATTTGTTATCACTGCTGTGATTGGTTAAAAAAAAAACTGGAGGTCAGGGCTTGAAGAATTGGTCTATTACAACCAAAACTTCTGCAGAGGGACGGAAGTTTCTTGCAGTTTAACGGCATGCTCAGGCCACACAATGGCTGTGATACTTACATTGAGAATTCATTTGTTTCCCAAATTTAAAAACATGCCCCAGGTCCGATGTCGGGATTTTGTCACGTTTTTCATGCCTTAGTGTTGGGATTTTGATCACTCAAAAACATTGTTACCATGGGCGTACTACTTGGAAAGGCAATCACGAGTGCACCCTGCATGTCGGAGATTGTCACCTTTTCAAAAAATGTTTCAACGACACATACACTTTTCCTAAAATGTAACATCATTCTCTAATTTCCACAAATGTAAATTTTTACTCTACGTTCTCAGTTTTGTTGATCTCATGTAAATTAAGGCCCTTTTCAATTGTGATGGTTTTATTTTTGGAAGGAGTTTAATACTGGGTAAAAAAAGGCTTATGATCACCTTTTGAGGGCCTTATCTTTCCCCATTTTTTATTTTTTTTATCTTTCTGTTTCCTTGTTAACTATTTCCTTTAAATACTGGACACTTTTTTGGTCACTTTTTGTCATACTTGAGTCTTTTTTTTCAAACTACCCTGCATCCAGATGCTAACAGACAAAGAGCAGTTGTAATCAAGTTGTCACAAGCCAATCATTCATGAGTCAATCACAAGTCCATCAAATCCAGACTCAAGTCAAGTCACAAGTTAACAAAACAAACTGTGATAAATGCACTCCGCTGTCATTGTTCCTTCCCTGTTGTTACTCGTGATTCAACTCATAAATGACTTGCAATTGTCCTGACTACAAACTCTGCATCACCGTCAAAGCCTCGGCAGGCAAATCTTGCCGGCAAACAGCTCCGAGATGATGGTCAGGAAGATGGCCAGAATGAACATGACGTAGGACGATCCCACCTTGACGGTCGTGGGTAACTTGTAGGGCTGACCGCCTATCTCATCCACGTAAAACCCCACTGGAAAGATAAGGGCTGCCACGCAGAAGAAAATCACTGTTTGCAAAATACAAAAAGAAGGTTAGGTCAGTTTGTAATGACTCCGTCACAGGTCTTCACAAGTCCCCTGATGTCCATCATAAGTCGTCCAGTCTCTAGTCAAGTCACAAGCTATTCTAATAAACTGTGACATAAATTGTGAATTATAAAATTGTTATGTTTATATAGCGCTTTCCATCATATCAACAATCTCAAAGCACTTTACAATGATTCCCCTGTTCATTGGGCCACAAGACCACGCAGCAGCCGATATCAGCGCACATTCAGTCCTCTACCCTCACAGGTACACATTTATACTCCTGGGTGGAAAGAGGCAATTGTAGTGAAGTGTCTTGCCCAAGGGCACAAACACCCATGTTCCTGGCAGGGTTTGAACCCACATACCATAGTACACGAGTCAAACACTGTAACCACTGGATCATGGCATTCTACATCTATAGACAAATTTGGGAATCGATCTGTGATTTACTTGCAACCAGGTCTGTGATTGACTTCACTACAACAATGCAATCGGTCAAGGAAAGACATAGATCGTTGCAGGATTTGCATCTGAGACCTCTGAAACACTGTACCAGCGCTCTACCAACTGAGCTATGCAGCCCCATGGTTTCAGTTTAAAACTTTATTGAGCTGACAATTTGTATCTTTAGCTGCAAAGCCAACTTTGAAATGTGTTGTTCGAAATAATGGCAAAGGCATAAAATGTAATGCAATCTGTAAAACCTTTGAGAAAATGTGAGACTGTGACAGCATGTTGTGTGAAAATTGCCTTTACATCTGATTTTTCTATACTAAAGCCATAACAGAGTTTTATCTTTATAAACTCTAAACTTGATGTTAAGGTCGCCGACAAAACAGGAGTAAAATACATTTCGGGGAAGAGCTCTGGCTCAGTTTTTAGGACGTATGTGACTTTTTATAAGTGTGTTGCATGGAAGCGTAGAAGGGCCACAATGATAGTAATCTTGCTGCAACTAGATAGTAAGTTGCCCCAGCGAGATAGTAAGTCGCTGCGGTGAAATACCGATTTGGAAAATGTTAATTGCTTGCGGACCTTCTATGCTTCCGTAGAGCTCGTTCACATCACAAGTGTACATCTTCAAAATATCTTACTTGCAGAAAAGGCCACCCATCTTGCGTACTTCAGGGCTTTGGTTTTCTTGAGTGACAACGCCAACAGCCCGCATGTGGTCGTCAAGCAGAGAATACCGAGGACAATGAAAACTAATGTGGCTTCCCATTCCGGCGACAAGTTGGGTGCCAGACAAACTGGGTCCCGACCAAAAATTGTAAGGCACTGTGACATCAGGCCGATCTTGAAATTACCTGTGCATGAATTTAAACCAAATAATGAAATATTTATTTCAACTGACTCCACACGTAGAGGTATGGATCCAGTTTGTTCAAGGGACATTACGTCCTGCAATGCGCCAAATTGGGCTGCAAAATGCGTTTTAAATGAAATGGTCAATGTCAATTGGAAAGAACATTTAAAAGTAGGATGTAAACGTCCACGAGACCATGTTTTAAAAACATGGCGTTTTTTTGTGCATTCTTGCAAGAACCATGCAAAAATGCATTTCGGGGGTCAAAAGTTTGACTCTCAAAAATTGAGCTGTTGAGTGCTATAGGCACTCAACAGCATTCTGTGGACGTGCGAGAAACAACATTTGAAATAATATTGGTGCATTATGATATGACACACACACAACATGTACCTTACAGTCAGTGCGACAGTTCTAGATCATCAACAGTTCCGGACCACTTGATTAAATAAAAATTAATGCAAAGTTCTGCAACCGAACTTTTTTTCGTGATTTTTTTTCACCAATTTAAAGGTTTATCATTTTGCAATTGTCGGGTAAAGAAAATTTGGAAATCCCTCAAACATTACCCACGATCTAGATTCGTTTGCACACGTTTGCGTATCAAACTTTCAACATGAAATTTCACGAAAAATAGATATCTGAAAAAGGCAGCACTCTCTGACATTGACATTGTCTGATTAAACTAAGAGTAAGACTAAATGTGAAAATCAAAATTTGACAAAGTTCTACTTCTAGTTTTTGTACATGTTCCAAGTGTGGCCTTTATTTACGGAGGTAGTCCAGTAAATTGGCCACATTTATGGGGCTAGTCATGGTGGTGAACAGGTGAATGATTTCACAATAACAATAATGTCAACAAATTTGCTGATGTGGTGAAATCATAGAGCAACTTGCATGACTTGTTGTAGCCCCATAAATGTGGCCTATTTACTGGACTGCCTCCGTAAACATAGGCCACACATCCACATGTACAAAAATCGTGTCGACGGAGCCAAATTTTGATTTTCACATTTAGGCTTAGTTTGTAGGGTTTTTTTGCTTTAGAAGCATACTCACCCTCTTTACAGGCTAATCAGAAAGTGCTGCCTTTTTCAGATGTCTAATTTTTGTGAAATTTCATGTTGAAATTTTGATACGCAAACGTGTAAAAATGAATCTGGAAATTTCACGAAAAATATACATCTGAAAAAGGCAGCACTTTCTGATTAGCCTATAAAGAGGGTGAGTATGCTTCTAAAGCAAAAAAAACCTACAAACTAAGCCTAAATGTGAAAATCAAAATTTGGCTCCGTCGACACGATTTTTGTACATGTGGATGTGTGGCTGTCACGCCCCAACTATCGCATCGGTCCCAACTATAGTTGGGCCTGTCCCAACTATAGTTGGGCCTGTCCCAACTGTAGTTCCACAGTTGGGCTGGCCCAACTATAGTTGGGCCTGTCCCAACTATAGTTGGGACGGTCCCAACTGTAAGTTCCACTTTTGGGCTGGCCCATCTATAGTTGGGCCACTCTGATCTTTTTACTTTGCGGTGTCCCAACTATAGTTTACATTAATGTACAACTATAAAACGTTCCCTACAGCTCTGATACACGTCTGACTTTACTGGGGACCACTGAAATTAGCTATTGATGGGGCGAATCTATAGTTGGGCCACCCCAATCTTTTTATTTTGCGGTCCCAACTATAGTGTACATTGTTGTACGATTATAAAACATTCCCTACAACTGTAATACACTTCTGACTTTACTTGGGACCAATGAAATTATCTATGGGTGGGGACCATCTGTAGTTGGGCCACCGTAATATGTTTATTTGACGGTCCCAACTATAGTTTACATTGATGTACGACTATAAAACATTCCCTACAGCTCTGTTACATGTCCGACTTTACTTGGGACCTTTGACATTAGCTAGTATGGGTGGGGCCCATCTATAGTTGGCCGGCCATGGCAATCTTTGAATTTTGCAAAATGTTGCTGGACAATAAAACCCAGCAGCTGGATGGACAACTCATCAAACTAGGCAGTACCACGTGACCGGCCAGCCTTGCGGCGCGGCGCGGCATGCATGCACAACGAATACACGGTGCCAGCGCCGCGGAACTTAATCCAACAAGATCTATCATCAAGCATGAAGCATCCGGCGCAACTCCAGTCCCAACTATAGTTGGGCCGACCCAACTGCCGTACTATAGTTGGGACAGGCCCAACTATAGTTGGGACCGATGCGATAGTTGGGGCGTGACATGGCCTATGTTTACGGAGGCAGTCCAGTAAATAGGCCACATTTATGGGGCTAGACTTGTTGGAACACTGAATCAAACCATGGAGGAATAGATCGAACTCACTTGCATCGTCTGAAATAACCCATTCTGGATTTGCCAGACTCGCCACAGCAAAGACATCAGCTAGGAAGAACAACAATCCCGATATTACCACAAGTTTTTCCATAGTTTAATTCATCCTTCATTCATTTTAAGATCGGGCAAAAAAATTGCTGGTCGCAACATCTCTCGCGATCGACCAGAGCACCCAGGCGAAAATAAACAAAGTCAAAGTACACAGATTAGCCCTGCCAAACACGTCTGTTAACGGAAATGTGATTGGGTAATCTCAAACGTACAAAAACGCACCGGCTTCAGGCATTTAACCAATAGTCTGTACTGTTACTAGTAACTCAGGCCTACTTAGACTTTATCCAAGTCAGTGTGTTGTGTAAGATATCGATAATAATTTAAATGTTACTGTGACAAATTCACTTCCCACATCATTTTGGTGTTTCCATCCAAAATTTGTTGATGAAATCACCCTACCAGATTTGCCTGGATTGACCGCTTGTTAGGAATGGACGTGTTTTTATTCCTCCATGCGTACACGCAAGGTTTTTGGCCGGGAAGGGGAAGTTTTATTCTGTTTTCATGAAATAGCGCCCTCTTGCGTGGCTTGTATACACTTTTAAAAAATCCGATTCCCATAGACCAAGGAATACAGTTCGGAATACTGTACATGTTCTATACAGTATACAAGGAATACACGTTTGGTGTAGAGAAATAGCTTGAAAATAATGTTTGTAGAAACCAGAAAGCGTTAAAATTACGACTTTAAAAGGGATATTTCTATACACTGCACTGTGTTTTGCACGGTTCGCACTGGGCTCTTCCCTCCCCCCCCCCCCCCTTGGTAAAAAGATAGCTTCCCCGTTCCCAAGCTGACACAACGATGACTTTGCACCAAAATATTTTTGGAAGTACCAGGTCCGGATCGAAAGCAGGTGGTTGCGTACAGCTAGACGCTAATCAGTGGACGAGGTTGCTGCAATCTTTTTTGGCTACTGAGGGCGCCCCAGAGAACCGGTGCACGTGGTTGTTCCACAGCTCCCAGTATACCTAGGTCACTGGTTAAACAAAATATCAGATGAGAGCTTGCAGAAACTACCCTACATTTGAACAATTTCTCCCTATTTAGTCAGATTCATACAGAGACGTAGACCCATTCTCTCAAATTTACTATAAAAGAAAATGATTTCTCGGCGAGCTGAATTCTGACTTGAGTGAGAAGGGCAGGTGGTGGTACGGTAAGAACAAATTTTGCTGGACTTCGAAGGCAATAAGATTTATGCAATCATAAGATGCTGTCCTGATGGAGGCGCGGCATATTATCAGACCAGTCATTCATCCTGTACAATATCGTCACCGACACCACGAAGTAACACCAAGTCCACTTCAATTCAGTGTTACTTCCTGAAAACCGCTTCATGACAAATGTTGGTTTCACGAAGTACCGTAAACGGTGCGCGCACGCAGACACAGTACTGGCCCGAACGATTTTCGTTTTGACAACAGAGTTACAACACTGTTACGGGAATACCGTTTGGATAAAAAACAGCTTGTGTTTTAAAACACCGACAGGAACATTATGAATCCGTATTCTTGTAGGATTACAGAAAATTCGCGATAAAAATCCTTCAAACTGGTGAAATAAAGATGAGTGTTACTTCGTAAAAACAAAAATGACCGAGTCGGCGCCATGCGCACACCTTTGTACAATCCGAGTGTTTACTTCGTGAAAACGAAAAGTCTTCGGTTCTGTAAAATACGAGCGCGTAGTGCGCACTCAAGTCCGCTTAGGTGTTACTTCGTGGTGTCGTTGATTATATACAGACCAGGTAGCAGGGGGTAAATGGCTCTCCAATTCACTTCGATCGTCCAACTGGGTTTGCATTTGGAGCGAACTGTATAGCTGGCTCTATATAAGCATAATAAACAAGATGTACCAACAAGAAGTGCCACGTCGTGCACTGAAGCATACAGCTGCTTACAGTCATTTACCCATGCACTAGACCACTGGCGTACCCAGGATTTGCTGGAGGGGGGGGGGGCTCAAATCTTTGGCCGCAGAAAACAATTGGAGTTTATTTCGGGGGGCGGACTATTTTGACGTTGGCGGTGCCACTTACCCCCTATTACTCGAAAATAGGCCACACACACATCACCCAGGTAAAATTCTGGGACTAAAAAAAAAATTACTGCTGGCCCGCGCCCACAGTCAACCGACGAACACAACATATTTCAGTTTAACCCGGTAAGTTCAGTTTAAAAACCTACAGGGTAGGCCTATTTTAAGAAATTGCAGCATAATGCAGGTGCGGAATAGCCTACGTATCGTCTACAGAGGGAGCTATGCAGGTTTACTGATAGACATCTAAACGGTCCGCAAACGGCTCGATAACAGTGCCTACCAAAAGTGCCTTTCTGACAAACGTTCATTTTATTCTTTGAGCCAAAGGTATTTATCGTCCCGGTCTAACCAACTGATGAACATGTACATGTTTGTCAATAAGGGAATCATTGTGTATAATTCCTGGAACCTTTTTGTACAACCACGTTGTTGCGATGTCAAGCTTTCTTGTAAGGTAGGATTAAGCCTTGATATTTTATTTTGACATCGGCGTTGGGGGCGGTATACCAAAGAGGTATAAAAAAAAATATTATGGCCTATCCCATCTCACTTGTGGGAGGTATCATAATTATGCGGCCAGCGAATGACGTATTGTTTTTATTTTTGGAACCAGAAATGGTCTTTTTTCAATTGTAATAATCATTGCCTATAGATTTAGTCTATAACAGAGGAATATTTTACCATGATAGAAACAATGCGCGCAAATTACCTCAACCTTCGATCATCCATGTCCCCTGCAAAATAAATGGTAGGGTCCACTGTTTCTGATGACCTAGTTCATTCACGTCTACGTCTCTAGCTAGCTACCTCTGGCTCCTCATTCATATCACAGTTCGTTGGTCGGTGCGCCAGGGCGAAAGTAGGACAGCTGACGCTGCGTGATATTTCTCCGGAAATGTATACATTGCACGAAGTAGCTACTTTATTTTGCGAATAGTGTTCATCTTCAAATGTCTTGGGTCAGTTTCTTGAGGTTCTGGATATTTAACGCGAGTCGTTGCTGACGTAGGCCCTTTGATAGAGGCCTATGGGAAATCATTATGTGTGAATGAAAAAAAAAGCACATTCTCGGGGAGCTCCCACACATAGTTCAATACCGGTAACGTGACCAACATGGCATCCCACGTGTTTCTTACAACCATTTGGCAAATGTTCAGGGTACGTGCTCTACGTATTGTGATGCCGCCCTCGCTCCGTTGAAATGGATACAGTTCACACCTACCCTGGACAAAACATGAGTCTGGGAATCTTGAAAACCAATATCTGTTTGTTCGTTCCGTGCCCTTGTGTTTGTTAGGCAATCTGCTTGCGGGAGCGATTTTTCAAAAGTCTTATATTCCATTTGGTGTCCGTAAAAGTTTAATTAAAGGACATTTGTGCTACCATTTTGAATCACGTGCGTCTTTGAATTTCGCCATGAAAGCGTAGCGTACCATAAACAGGCAAAATTAAGTACATGAACGTGGGCAGCACAAAACCTTTATGTAGATCTGGGGCATTGGATAAACAATATCCAAGGGGAAGAACAACACCTCCCGTACAGACTAGCTTCAAAATGTACAGTTGTTTTCATGCCTTGTTTCGGATCCCACCTCTGCCACCATAATTTTAGCCCTTTATACTTTAGGGGAAGATTTTTAGCCATGAGCTTGATAATGTAAATTTGTAAGAAAACTTTAGTTAAAGGACCGGTAGCTAGTCTACCATCACGTTAATGACGTTTAACCCTTTATTTTCACCCACCCGGAGGTTGTTGTATTCATTTGAATTCCTGAGTCACCTCACAATGTCACGCAATTTCGCCTGTCTGCTGGTTATGTAGTATATCGAAATAAAACCTTTCAACTCCGGCACAGCTTGCCGGCCCAAAGGCCTTGCCCCACCCAGACTCGCACAGCCTGACAGATGACTTGGGCTCAAGTGGCCTTTAGTGGCTCGGGTGGACTTGGACAAAATGGTTCTGCGTACAAAACCACGATGAGAACCTGACGCGCGCCGTGATTTCGTCAATGCATCATCATCAATGTATTGCCGCGCCAAAAAGCTCATGCTGTAGTAGAGAGACTGCATGACTGTGTACATGGTCGTACCAACTACCAATAGCAAAACCGTGGGGTCAACTTGGGGCCCGTTTTCTGGAGGAGGATGGTACTTAATAATAGCCACCGGCAGTACAGCAAGCGTATTATTATGCGTCCAGATTCGGCGAAGACTGCGTCTTGACCTCTATAGATTCTGACCATTCAGCGGGCGCCTTCTATCGGGTCTGACCCATTGCTGTAATACACAAACATTGCAGCCAAATTGACCAGGCCGAATTTCTGCTCGAAATGACGTCACAATTTCTAAAGTCGACTCCGATTGGCTGGCGCGCTGGGTCGCACAAAAATTTGTATGCTCAGATATACATGAATATCAGACCAACTCAATGCGTTTTTAACAATAAAAAGTTCGGGTTTTTTTTTGGCCTATCCCAATGGGAGCCACAGGCCTCAAGCGGGAGGGGCACATTACCCAACCTCCTCCCTTTAGTTACGCCACAGTCATTTTAATGGTGCGCCTTTTCGACACACAGAATTGTTGAGAAAAATCATTGAAACGAATTCGACTTCAGCTCAACTTGTTATAAGCGAGATCGTGGTTGCTTCTTTCAGCAGAAAAAAAGTTTGATAGGAATGCGTCGGCCCTGACCTGAAAAAGATATAGCAGCTGGGTTATTCCTTAGTCGCTGAAAGTGACATTTGACCAGGGAAAAAAACACGATGGACCAGGAAAAAAAACACGATGGAACACTTTGTCAAATTTTTCAGGGGTTGGAGATTTACATGTAGTTGGTGTTATCGTGATTTCACCCATTGAAGTGACCGCAATGCCTTACCAATTTGAATTCTCATATACCGCAGTGGCTTACACCAATCCCCCATACGCTAACGTGCCGGGTTCCATCTTTGGCCGCTTGTCACAATGACTCAGGGCATTATTCGTTTTCACATCGCCTTTCACAAAATGACGAATTCTATAATTGGCATGACACCCTAAAGCCAGGCAGGCCATCGCCAGCGCGCTATATAGCGCTGCATAAATACTAAGGCCCCGCTTATCAATGCCCACTATACCTCGTTCTGTTCCTTGAAACATAGA